GTCAAACTTTTTAAGACTTATCTATGTATAGCCTAGGTAAGTGTCGTCTTTAGGTAAGAATATTGCTGTTCAAGATGAGTTTCGAAGAAATGTCCAAACATGTCCTTCACAATAATATATATAAAAAATGCCTTGCGCAAGTATAATTTCTATTGATTATTGAATACGTACTGATAAAATCCCAATCATTTGTTTTTCTATCTGATTCAAGCGAGTCGGACTGCTCATAACACTGGTCGAGCATGAAAATAACAAAAAATTGAACTTTTTCATGGCCGGTTTAAGATTTATTGTTAGTACATCGTTGTTTTTCGCAAAGGACTAATTTTACAGATTTTGCCTCCATACTTTTTAAATGCAAACAGTTCTTACATACGGCTGTCCATTGTGCCGTGTTTTGTGTCTTCTTCTATAAATCGGTAACGGTCAGCGACCAAAGAGCTCACCCGTACATGTCAAGCATATATACGCCGCGGGGAGAGTCCGTTGTTAGTAGGAAGTGTCGGGCGTAGTGTCGGTGTTGTGTTTGTGTATGTGTCGCTGCTGTATCCTACGTGGTGCTCGTGTTGTCTGTGATGTATGTGAACACTGATCTCAATGACAATTGCTGGATCGCGCTTGCCGCTCCCGCAAGTGAAGCCACCGGGCCTCACTCGCTTGGGATACGATTTGCCGTTTTTGCTAGCCTTTGCTGCGGTTTTCCAGCGTGCTGACGACACGTTTTCTACTCGTTCGTCGTCATTCGCCGAAGAAGTTTTTTGAAGACTCTGTGTATTGTTGAGACTTGCCCTTGTGAACACGTGGAAAAGTTTACGAAAGTGCAGTGCCGCAGGAAAAAGGCACAACGCGTCGAAAGGAAGGGCTGGCGGCGTGTTCAAAGCATCCTTGGCACGCCGAAGTGCCGTGTCTCTGTGCCTTCGCGCGCGTGGATACCGACCAAGAACCGACGCCGAGTGAATGTGTTTAGCGAGTGCAATGTGCGTGAAGCCGTGTCAAAAGGTACAACTCGTCGAAAACGTGTCGCCGGTGTCGCGGCGTGATCAAAGATTCCTTGGCACGCCGAGTGATGCATCTTTGTGCCTTCGCACGCTTGGATACCGGTCAAGAATTGACGCCGCGCCAAAGTTCTGAACGTGTGTCGCGCGTAGATGCCTTTAGATCATTTATATATATCGGCCACGGAGTTCTGGATCGTCCAGCTGTTCCGGTGAGTTGCTATCAATAAAAGGGGGAGATCTGTACGTGTTCTTATGTACTATATTAACCATGGCTATGTCCCAAATCTACTCTAATAGATTCCGTGGGAGCACGAATAGGGCAACGTTGTGGAGCCAGGGGGGTTTTCGAAAGCAAAAGTACAAGACGACGAGAATGAAAATCTTTGAAGCGCGGCCGATATGGTCGTGTGCAATCTGTTGACCAATTACAATTAGGCGAGCCGCGCTCAAACGTCAAGTGCAATTAAGTGGGTTGATAATAAGCCAGCACTGATCATTGATGAGGAGCTGTTGTGCACGGTATTGTGGAAATCGTCTAAGGACGAAAAAAAGACGTACCTTCTCCCCATCTTCCGTCGCTAGTGGACGCTGGATTAAGCTCGTTCCTAAACCGCGAGAGGAAAAGACGCTGATCCAGAGGCACGAACAGCTTCACGCACATTGCACTCGCTGAACACATACACACGGCGTCGGTTCTTGGTCGGTATCCAAGCGTGCGAAGGCACAGAGACACGGCATTTCGGCGTGCCAAGGAAGCTTTGAACACGCCGCCAGCCCTTCCTTTCGACGCGTTGTGCCTTTTTCCTGCGACACTGCACTTTCGTAAAATTTTCCACGTGTTCACAACGGCAAGTCTCAACAATACACAGAGTCTTCAAAAAACTTCTTCGGCGAATGACGACGAACGAGTAGAAAACGTGTCGCCAGCACGCTGGAAAACCGCAGCAAAGGCTAGCAAAAACGGCAAATCGTATCCCACGCGAGTGAAGCCCGGTGGCTTCACTTGCGCTGCAGCGAACAAGCGGGGAAGCGCGATCCAGCAATTGTCATAGAGATCAGTGTATGTAGAGTAGCAGTCTACTCGTGATAGTTCCCTTTTTTTTTCATTGGTTGCTAGAAATCGCACTAGGTGGCGCAAGTTACCGCCCGATTACAAGAGTTTGCATGAGCTATTTATCCATGTAAGTTCAATATTGGTTTTTTTTTTTTTTTGTTTTGTTTAGCGGTTTTGCCGTAGCCGTAGCTGCCGACGCCACCGACCGCCGACGATGCACGTACGTACCTTTGCACGTAGCTACGTCCGCCGCTCGGAGACTGTTTACTGTGCATAAAAGACATCGAACGAGAACGAACGCGTCCTGTATGCTTTCAGTTCGGCTGAAAGGCGCGGCTGGCTGGGCTCGTCCCTCGCCTGTTCTCGGCTGCTGGCCGCCATGTTTCATAAGGAACACGTTGAACCGTGCTTCTCGGAAGGCAAACACGGTGTAGCGTGTTAACTTTACACAGCACCTCATGTGTAGACGAAAAACACAGATGGCTCCGTGTAAAACGAACACGTTTCGACGTGTCCGCTATGGGACAACGGTTTACACGTCTGGGCGTGTTATTTTTGCTAACAGTGTAGGACAAGAACGGACGTGTGCTTGAATTGCGAGGGCAACAGGTCTAGCAGAAACCACAGCCGTTCGTCGCACGAGCACACGAAGGGGTTGTCGAGGTGTGCCATCTGAAATTCGGTGGTCGCCGCAGCAAAGAGAACGACGTCGTGCAGTTCCCAAAGCCTTCCCGCTTTGCGTCCGCCTTGGTCCCGCAGCTGTCATTCTCTCACTCTCATCCTCTCCCCGCGATCACGCGGGTTTTTGCGTTCGAACGCCGAATTTCAGCGGAAAGCGGCACTGACAACTACCGATGTAAAATCACTTATATAGTTTATTTAAGTCGATGCGTTTATTGAACAAATTTTATGTGATTTTTTTTTTCTATTTTCAATGGGGACGGTATGAGTTTGTTCTTTTTTTTTTCGCGGCACGCAGGCATCGCTCAATTACTTTTTTTTTTCTTTTTTTTTTTGGTGGGGGGGGGGGGGGGTGATTTTTGGGAGAATTCCCCCTAATAGGCTGTCGTAACGGCCGCTGAAAGGTAAGTTCGGCCGCCTTGCTAGATGTTTCGACTCGTTCGCGCGGAGACAAGCCACCCGTTCTTAGGAGGTATGGCACTCCACTCTCTCATCCGGCAGCATATGTATTCTCGAAATCGGTATCGGCCACTGATCTCTCGTAGTAGAGATCAGTGGTACCGACCGTTAGGTCTAGGTTGTTGTTTTTTTGTTTTTTTTTCTTGGGGGGGGGGGGGGGGGGGGGGAGGGAGGGGGAGGGAGGGGGGAGGGGCTGGTCCGGGGTCTACGAAAGTATGCAGACCTGTTGTCGGAGCTCCTCTCTCCGACGCTTCCCCGACCTCGGTTCTCGGGACCCTAGTGTCTGGCAGCTAAGAATGGCCTCTTCGCTGGCGCGAGCGGCCTTTTGGATGTGGACATTTGGTGTGCTTTGGAGAGTGTCTAACAAACGCTCTTGGATTCTGCCCTTCTGCAGTACGTGTGTCTTCTCTATGTTCGACAGAGACAGTGTAGCGATCATTGGCACGCCGGAGGTATTTATGAAGCCGAACCGCGGTAGTGTATGTAGCCTAAACGTCGCGAACGCCACATGGATGTGGGACCGCGCTACTAGGCTTAACGTCTCCTGATTCAGGTTGCCGCCACTGCAGTAAAACCCTTTGGTTACTGCAGCCAGTGTTGGTAGCTAAACCCATTACCGCGCCTTACACCGTCAAGCACACTGGGCGAACTTCGACCGTGGCGTCCCCTCCCCCCTCCCCTTTTTTTTAACGCCACCATGCACTAGGTACGACATCACATTGTTAGTGAATATGTGAGTAGTGACCCAACACGAGCGTTTTGTCAGACGAGAACTGCATTCCAAAAACGAACAGTGATTAAGCATAGAGTCATGTCGGACGCCGTGTTCAAATAAATCAAAAAGCTTTAAAAAAAATGCAAAAAGGGGGCGTCCCCCTTTTGATGAGGCCCACCTCTGGGGCTGGCCGTGGCTAAACTCCACAAACTGGCGCCCAACGCGGAGCCATGACTGTCTTTTTTTGTTGTTGTGGCTTCTTCGTCCCCATTGTCCCGATTACCGGAACTCTGCCTTTGACCATAACAAGAACACCCTCAAACATATTGTGAAAACGCGTATAATGTAAGCGAGCTCAGATTGCTCTATGTAATCTGTAGACGCTTCACGAAGCCAGTTTCGCGAAGATGTGTACAAAATAATCGCTGCCAAAATTTGTATTTAAATTTCTATCGACACAAAAAACAAGGGGAATTTACGCACATCGTTGCACGGCTGATATCGACTTGCTTGAGGGCAATGGAGTGTCACAGAAGTTGGGGCTCCAATCCACGCTGTGAAGGTGGTTAGCCAGCGAAGCTGTGACAAGTGCCGATCTCAAACCATCTTTGAAATCTTTTAATATTTTCACCATTTTAATGCACAAGTGCATTCTAACGGGGGGGGGGGGGGGGGGGGGAATTTAGATTCCGTGTCATCTGAAGGAGTGCCTTTGGACGGATGTGGAAGGTAGAATTGGCAAACGCTTGCACCGGGCACATCTTCGCCCGCATTGCATGTCAACACGTAAATTATGAGTCACCCTCATGTTCACACGACGCACCCCAACCTGTCTGCGAGTCTGCGTGTTTTCCGTGACTTTGCACGAAATAGAGGAAAGGAAAACAGACACTCCGAAAAGAGACTTCAACCCTTCAAAAGGTGATTTGACCGATAGATCAAACTACAAATACAAATCTTTTGTTCAGAATGTTGAATTCCTTGCCGAAAGTGGCACACCTAATACAGAATCTGCAAAGACTGCACTCGTCCCTCATGGGGAGGGAAGTCAATCCCCACGATGCTATTGAATGCAAAGTAAACGTGGCAGACATTGGATGATGTAAACTGCTTTATTGTGGATTTACACTTGCATTGTCATGAAGTGAGAAAAGCAAAGGTGAAGTCGACTACAAAAAGGGGACATTACTATGACAATAAAAAAGAAGTAAAATGCCCAGGAAAACAGGTGCCCTCAAGGTCCTGCCTGCCTGCCGAGGATTGATGTTAAGGCAATGCAAAAAATTATGTATCTTGAAAACAGCATCTTCCAGTTCCGCCAACCTCGGAACTTTCATATCCGAATCCCAAACAGATTCTGAAGAGATCTGAATAACCGAGGGTACCAAAAACACAAAGGCATGTATTCTAAATTAGTGTCAGCTTAATTCTTTATGGATACCCTTCCTTCTGAAGGATGCCCAGGTAAGGCTCATGCCCAAGCTTCGACAAAAACCACACGCTGAAGAAACAAGCTTTCTGAATCGGAGCAGCTTAACTTAACCGCAAGGGGCCATAAAAACGTAAAATGTAGGAGACCCCCGCACCGGAGACCTGGTCGACTGTGAAAAAGGCCACACTCCAAAGAGCTGACTGCACGCACACAAAATCCATCTTTGAGTTTCTCAGCCCAACGTGAGACCATCGGTGAAACGGAAGTTTCGATAAAAGAGACTACAAGTACCACTCTGCCTAGAGACCAGGGGAGTACAAAAATGGTGTTAGAAGGGGCACAATGCATATGTACAGTGCATAGTACTCAGGATAACGCAAACAGAACCCAACACTTATTTAACGAAACAAAGGTGTTTAAAATTTAGATCCCCTAAACGCTTTTTTGTCAAACTGATGGTTCCGAGTGGTAATTGTCAAACTGATCAAATTTCCTCAATAATCAATTATGCCCCACTGAGTTTAGCATCCAATGGTCATTCACAGAATAACAAGGGGTGCCCGTACCAACAAGAGCATCTTTAGAAAAGCAGCTGTCAATCCACAAATAAAGAAATATGAACTCCGACCGCTCGGTAAGGGGAAGAGGAAAGCGTGAAAAGGTAGCACTGCGGCGGCAAACAAGGCATGAATTTGGGGAGAGGTATTTGCTCTGTCGAGCTATGCTTGAAAACAATGAATGATTATGGCATTTGCGAAGCGGTCAATCTTACGTCAAAAAGGAGGGAGGGGGAAGGGGGCACTAAGTATAACAGTCAGGCAAGGTGTCTTGGCACAGGGAAGTATTTCTCTTCAGAAGGAAATGCTTCAGCACCATCCATCCCCTCTGCAGTTCCCAAACAACGTTGGGCAGTCTATAAATACAACTCTGCAGGGAAGATACAACTTGTGCATCGATCCCATTCGGAGCCTGACTCAAAAGTTATTAAAACTAAAATGCACTCTTAGGCACGCCAAACATGTCTCCCCCAACAGCGAAAAAAGTCTACAACACAAAGCACAATCTCCGACGACATTCATTGCCCTTTAATCCTCGCACAGCCTCGACAGAAAAGAAAATGACGGCGACATTCAGGTTTCAAGAAATCTGCAAGCAAAAAGAACTTTCCGACAGCAAGCCACCATCACTGAGAAAAAGACGCTCGCGCAACGCAGTGCTCGCTACGAAACAACGGAAGAAATGCAATAAAAACCCAATGTATGCGGCAGATGATGACGACACACTAAACCGAAAGGAGAACGAGAGTGTGGCAGGGTGCTTGCTGCCTCAGTTAGGCGGGAGGGGACAGAATTCAGCACGGTGGCCTTCCCCCCCGCCTTGCAACGCGAGCGACCAGAGTCTCCTAGGCGGCAACCTCTTCTGGCGGCGGCGCGGGTGTTGACGACGCCGTCGCGGATGCAGCCGGTGCTGACGAGGCCGGTGCAGAGGAAGCCGGTGCAGAGGAAGCCGGTGCAGACGAAGCCGGTGGGGACGAAGCCGGTGCAGATGAGGCCGGTGCGGACGAAGGTGGAGCGGACGCAGCTGGCACGGGTGATGCCGTAACCGACGGATTACTGGAGGCCGAGGGCTTGAGGTCTCCTCCGCTGGCCTTGTCGCCAGCAGGCTTCTCGTCGGCGCTCTCCGAAGCGGCCTTCTCGGCCTTGGGCGTCTTGTCTGCTGCGGCGTCTTCTTTGTTGTTCAGCTGCTCCTTCTTGTCTTCGGCCTGGGTGTCGTTGGTTTTTGACTCGGTTCCATGTTCCTTGGACTCCTTGGCTGGCTTTTTGTCCTTTGCCTCCTCGCGCTCCTCCTCGACCTCCTCTTCCTCTTCTTCCTCTTCCTCCTGCTTTTTCTGGCGCTTGGCTGCAGCTTTCTTGGCAGCAGCGCGTGGCTGCTTGGCTGTCCGCCGGGCGGGCTCCTGCGTGTCGTGTGAGAGGACGTCGTCATTTTAGAAAGACTTGGAGCGAGCAGGAAGTATGCTTGCTAGTGCACTTAAGTTACCACTTGTACAACCGGCAGAAGGCTGGCAGTGCGAAAACGCGAATAGTAAGAAGCGAAAAAAAAAAACGTGCATGTCCATTTTCGCTTTTCTATAGTCGGTTACAAGTTAAGAAGGTAGGAGAAGCTCCTCCCACAAGTGTGATGCACCGGTTGCAAATCCCTCCGCAGTAGAAAGAAGAGTTCACTGGAAACGCTCCTTGTTCCGCTTCAATGGATAGATATTGGCTACAGAGTGATGCCAACTTGTCTCCAATCCCACTTTTTAAGAAAGCGACCTTTGTATTCATCGGAGGGGGAACCGAGCCCCTGAAAGCAGCCATTGTATCCATCGGAGGGGGAAGCTAATCCCTGAAAGTCGTATTTGTTTCCATTGGAGGAGGAGAACTCTAATCTCCCTCTCGTGGCTTCCACAATGCTAAGTCAAAGTCGAAAGATAAAGCAAATATGTACAGTAAGGCAAGACCCTCCTCGCGCGTTGGCCGCGACGTCGCGGAAACGATGGGACGCTATTGGATGCGGAGGTGGCGGAGGGATATTTGCTGCTACCTTCTTGACTTGTAACCTACTATAGTCTCGTACCTGTTGCATGGGTGGTAATCTTTAGTGTGCCACCATACTTCTCGAAACTGACAAATCAGGAAAATTCACTCTGTTGGCGATGAATGAGTTGCAGGAGAAGTCTGACGTAGCCGTCATGGGTGTGTTTAAGCAATTAGACAGAAACCTAAAAAAGATAAAAAAAGAGATAGTCGGCTTGTTGAAGGATTGCGACTTTCTGTCACAAGTATCCAAATCAAACAGTACTCCCAGTGACAAGTTTGGGATTAAGTTTTTTTTAAAAGACCACAAGGTGGACCTTCCCCTCCAAGTACTGGCCAAAGAAAAAGGCACCTGGCAAAAATTTGTCTCTTCTTTCCTTTAGAGTGCTTTGTCGGTCTTGGAAGTTAAAAGTCCATTGTCACTACGTTGTTCAGATGATTTGGTTATGGAGTTGCAGCCCTTTCATAAGAGACCTTGTTTGGTGTTTTCGATGGATATATAGGACCTTTATTATTCGCTTGATTCCAAAACCCTTCTCAACTGAGTTTATATTTTTCTGGAAAACAACCTCGTCAGGTTTCAATTACAGTCTGGAATTTCAGTACTGGATTGCCTTAGAATTTTAGAATTGCACCTTCAGGCAACGGTTGTAAAGTACGATGATCACAATTTCATTCAAAAACAATGAATATGTATTGGTTCAGCCGTGGCCCCAGTCCTCTCAAAGATTCACATTAGCTTTTTGGATATGCGTCTAATTGGTCTCATTCAAAGCCGTTCTCCAGGTGTCATCCTCATACGGCGTTATGTCGACGATATTCACATTTGCACTACCGATTCTTCATGGTCAGCGTTGGTAGAGAACTTTGTCTATGTAAGTGTGCCAGAGCTACAATTCTCAGTAGAAAGACTGGTAAATGACTGCCTGCAGTTTTAGACATCCAGCTTAAAACTAGCTCCATGTTGTGTTGGCAAAATGGCAAAACGGAAGTCAAACCGCTCCTGCCTTTCAAAAGTTGCCACTTGAAAAATATCAAGGCTGGCATAGTCAGGAATTTAGTAGATAGTACCCTTAAAAAATCTTGTTCGCACTTGACTGGTTCTGCGCTCCAACACCTTTCTAACTGCTTCGGCGTGACAGGTTTTCCCAAGGAGTATGTGTACAGACAGTTGTTGTACGGGGTTAATAAGAAAGAGAAATGTCAAAAGGTTCGTAAATCTGCCAGGCATGTTGTTCTCCCTTTCTTCCATGAGATTTCTCATAACTTCAAATCGGCCAACGACCACTACGGCATTAGCACTGTGTTCAAAAATGATTTCAAACTAAGTCGTTTCACCCCGTTCAACTCGGCCAGAACTGGATGCACCAAAAAACACGGAGAAAAAAATGGTGATTCTGTGTCGGGCGTAGTATACAAGATTCCTTTTGCTTGCGGGTTATGTTACATTGGACAATTGAAGCAGTGTTTGAATGATTGTTTAACTGAACACAAACGTTGTATTAGAAACAAAGACCAGTATTAAGAAATGTTGAAACATGCGCTGGAATACCTCTATGGCAATCCACATCGGTTGTGTTGACCGAGAGAGAGGATCATAAACGTTTCGTAAAGGAGTCCCCAACTATTATTAGTCACGGGAATGCAGTATATAGGCCGTCTTTTAATTTAGACACGGAGTTGAAAAGATGTCGACAAATTTGATTGTTTGGGGGTCACCTTTATATCTGTGTAGGATGTTGTTAGTTTGGGTTTAAGTTTCAACCCTGCCCCCTTTGTTTCAGGTGTGACGAATGTCGGGGGTTGTTCGCTTTTTTCCTTGTTGGGGTTTTCCCCTAATGCAGCCCTGTCTTTTGTGATGTGCATCAGGACCTCACCGAGGTGGGGTAAGGGATCTTCCTCCACCCGTTTGTTTGCATTAGAACAGTACCGGTGTGGTACTTGTCAATGTTCTCCCTCTCTTGTGCGTTTGGGAAAGAGAAGTTCAACCTCTTCCTTTTGGTTTTCTGGGCTCTTGTACCCTATAAGACCACAATATTCTGTCCAATAAATTTCAACTCTGTTAGAAACTTTGTATTGCGTTGTCCCTTCTTCCCCTAGTCTGGGGGTTTCGTCTAAAATGTTGCCCTTATCTCTTATTTCACATACTGCATAAGTGTGCTCAAGTTCAAGGAACTACTGGTTTGTACCGATTTCGAAGATCTGTCCGAAGCACACAAATTATCGCAAGTTTTCATCGTCCGAAAAAGTGTTATGTGGTAGCATTTCCGAATGTGTGCAACGTCTTTGTGATCCCGAAATCACATCTCTACCTTGCTGCATTGCTGCTAATATTACACCGTCTTCTGTAATCGTGGCAAAAGCATGTGGCGAGATTTTTACTCTTGGTAAAGTTATGTGCAACAGCCCAAGACAACTTACAGCACCTTTTTTTAGACCACCCAGTTTTGCAAGTTTGATCCTAAAAAAAAAGAAAAAAAAAAGAAGTGAATAAAGCTTGGGGCTATAGAAAACTGTCTGTCCGTTTTTTCTTATGCCAGAGAGCGGCAGCACGTCCCCTCCTTTTTTGATGCACTACAGAAAAAGCCCACAGAGAAGCGGGTGCCATGACTGCCATGTTTGCCAGAGTTGCTGCGCATGTTGCAGCTGTTGCAGAAGTGTGCACGCACGTCACAGAGCGGTCACTCCAGTCACAATGGATGCAGTCGTAGCTATCGCGCTCGATGCAGATGTTCAAACCACCCTCAACCTCTTGGAACTTCTTGATTGTCTGTCCATTTCTCCATAGATCACATTATGTGGGTTGCATCCGGGAGTGGTAGTCTGCCAAGTGTTGTGCAGTGTCACCACCGCCTCAAAGGATCTTCACTTGGACTTGCTTTTGCACGTCCTTTGTCAACCAATGCATGACTAAAGGAACTAGTAAGGAATTCAGCAGTTTTGAATCTGCAAGTTGTAAAAGCATCATCTCCCCAAAAAATATTCCAGCAGGGGTCCTCCTTTGTACTTTTAGACTATCACTTGATCGCAAACTTTAACTTTGTTCATGCCGAAGGAGGAAAACAACTCGCACCACTTTCTCCGAGAGCACTCAAAGCTCGTACCACTTTTTTGGCCATTCCACCAAGAAAGACAGCCAAGCTCCTAATCTTTTTGTTTGATAACCTTTGATAATTGCAATTTATATTTACCTTGATTTTGCCCTTGGCCAAAAAGTACAGGGTGTCTACCACATTGCCTCTCTCAAATTCCCAGACCTTTCCAGGATTCCCCTGAACATTTCAAATCAATTCCGGCAATTACAAAAAAAGAAAATGCAGTGGTTCTTTGAGCCGTGTTCGTCCGTTTAATCCAGTGTTGGGTAAAATACATCTAAAAGGTACTTCAAGTAAAGTACGAAGTAAATGAGACGTAACATAATTTAAGTAAAGCAGTAAGTACTCTGAGTGCAATGTACTTGAAGTAAAGTACTTTAAATACAATGTACTTTAAAAGTAAAGTACAAGCATTTCAATACAATTTTTCATGATGTCCTTTAATTCCCCAATACAGTGATTTTTTTAACTTGTATGCATTGCCCAGGGGTAATCAGGGATGCAAGTCCTATTTTCCAAAAAACACCGGCAAATATTTGATAAAGTCAAGTTGCTACAGAGTTGTTATTCTCTGGAATGGAGCCGAATACAGAAGTCCGTCTTTTGAGTTGCTGGAGATTGTTGCACTCAAGGGGGTTAAATGTACAGGGAGAGAGAATGACGTCAGCCCCGTGGCTTCCGCAAGCAATTCTCTCATAGAAAAGTATCCTCTCCTTAATGAAAAAAAAGTGAGTGCACAAGCGAGCTGGTGATAATTAATCATAAAGTGATACCTGAGATTGGGGTGTGAAAAAAATTAAGGAACTTTCAAATAGAAAAAAAAGGCAAAAGAGAATGTCTCAAAACATTGTGACGCGTCCTCTTCTGTTGTCTTTTACTTAGACTTGAAAATTAAATTTATCCGTACTAGTCTCAGGTGTTACATTATGAGTAATTTTGCTCTCCTAATAATTAGCGAGAGTTCAAAAAGCAACGGGAAAGCCGCCCCCAGAACAAACGGAGCGATGCGATCATCTGCTCACGTTTCTGGGGAGAGTAGAATATCCCTCTCAGTATTTCTTCGGAGTTGACAAAGCATAATTTCATGACACAAATTTAACAAAATCAAATTTGGGGAATGTACTTTAAAGTTGGGAATTGTACTTTGCTTGGAAAGTACCAAAAAAAAAACTTTAAGTAAAGTACAAGTACATACTCAAAGAAAGTACTTTAAGTAAAGTACAAGTTTCCCAAACCTACTTGAAGTAGTACTTTAAGTACAATGTACTTAAAGTACTTCCCAACACTGGTTTATTCAGCTGAATCCGGTGGCGACCTACGCCGCCTAGTGATGCCTCGGGCAACTGTTATTCAGTGCAAGGGTCAGCCAAGGCACCGCAAGCCACATGATCCCGCTTCGTTGCACGTCACTGTGCTACCCACCATCACACATTTTCCCCCAACTTGGGAAACTTTCTGATGATACCCCTGACAATTTCCTGACTTTTCCAGATGTTTCGAAATTCCCTGATACTTCCAGGTTATCCAGGTTGGTAGACACCCAGAAATATCTTGCATGCTTCAGCCTTACTTGCAAAGTAAATAGTGAACCAAGTTGCTGGTGCTTAATGTCAGCGGTAGAACAACGGTCTCTTCGCCTTGCAGCTGGCATTTGGTGCAGCAAAGACTTCCACAGTCATACCATTCCTCAGCTAGTTAGGGTGCACAACACCACATTGCATCTTCGAGTTGGTCAAGGCTGCCCCACTTGCATTTTTTGCTCTCGGATATTGGGAGTCGCTGCAGACGCTACAGCTGAACACCATTTTCATCTTTCTTGACAAGAAATCAGTGACATAGTAGATTATGCAGTCCACTACCTCGGGGAAAGCATTGTCAATACAGAACATTCTCGCACTCCCTCTTTCCAGTCGCAATGAGTTCATCTATATTTGCTCGCAACCTTGCGAGATGCTGAACATCGATGTCAGCAGTCCTGCTCTGCAAAACGTCCTTAAACGTAGCAAAAATACAAAACAGGTACCTCACCTTTTTGCCGTTTACCGTTAGCAAACTTCAGCAGTTGTAATAAGCTGCATAACGTCAACATATAATGAACTATCAGGAACGCTGGCATGTCCAGATGAACGCTTTTTCCCGATGTCTGCCGCACCCTACCAACAAATCTCTCGGGATTTTGGTTAAATTGGCACGATGCCACACGTAGTTAGCAAATGCGCAGAAAGGTCTATTGTCGATTTCAGAGTGACATGAAGTCCTTGTGTGGTGCCCAGCATGAGGAACACGTCGTGCGGGATGGCAGCGTTCCCCAACTAATATCCCCAGCTGCCGAACCAGTCGATGCCACATGCCACTATCTTTAGGTCGGGACTTCCCGGGCAGTTTCCTCATCTGGATATTGCGGATTATGAACATCAAACAAGTACAACCGTAGGGTGAGCTCGACTCTCCCTGCACAATTCCACAAACTGTTCAGCTTTCCCTCACGGTAGTACCGTATCTGTGCCGTTCAGTCATTGGCCTGCTGAAAACGTGCGTAGCAAGCTTTTCCCGCATCCTGTCCACATTTGACGAGAAAGAGTGGCGACGTGCAATTTTCGAGCACACTTTCAAATCACTCACATCTGAGCTGTTTTCTCTGTACATAGCAGCGTAGTCAGACAGGCTGATCCATGCTCCATTACTTCTAAAGGGACACTTCAACGGAATTTGAAATATACCTGTCGTGTTCAGAAATGGGTTGAATATGATCCGCAATATCCGTAAATGAGAATCGCGCGTTTGTATTTTGAGCCTGATGGCTGTATTTTTCGTTGTCAACAGCCCACTCTGGCAAACACTCGGAAAGCAGCCAGCGGAGAATATGTCACATCCGCAGCAATCGTGACGAAGTTTGTCTCGGGACAAAGAGCTCTGTGGACTGGGATAGCCAGTCCACAGAGCGGGACTGGCTATCCCGGCCAGTCCCGCTCTGTGGACGTAGCCCGTGATACGCTTTCCGTATGTTGCTGTGCCCCCTCTCCAAGGTCACGTGACACTCACACGGCCTTGGATAGGCCCCGATGGCTCATAGCATCCGCTGAAAGCCGCCGAAGCACACCAGCGAACGGGCCACCGCAAGTAACCCCAAAGCTGCCTTTGTACGACTTTTGAGTGACGGGTAATCTTCTGTAATCTTGTAGAGGGACAATAGCGACTTCTTGGACACACAAAAAAAGAGTCTCAGGGAAAGGGAAAGGGAAGTTCCTCCTTCAGCTCTTCTCTCGTCGTGGCCGGAGGCGAGACAGTTACCCTCACTAACTGTCAAGGTTCCGAGACGGGCATTACAAACGAGGCAATAGCGACATCCCCCAGGTGCTCTTTGCTAATCGTTTAATTCATTAGAAAATTTCTTTTCGTGTCTTTTTCAACAAGAGATTGGTGCGGCTGATGTGACAATGCTCCCCTGAACACGAATAGACCAAGGAATAAGCGCCTATATTTCGTTGTAGTATCCCTTGAAGGTACTTCTGCTCGTGCAAATGGTTCAAATGCACTTGAAGGGGTGAAGTACATCAGAGACCCTATGTGGAGAGCAAGTTTGTCCACTTCTTGCACAGGGGTTGCAATGATGTCAGAACGTCGAGCTCTTACTGGTTGATGGAAAAAAATAGTGGGTAGACCTCAAGGCATCTAGCATACATACAGGTCAACCTATTATTCTTTCAATCAGCCAATCAGAGCTCGGCATCATTCCGACGTTACCGTAACTCCTGCGCAAGAAGAAGACGACTTGCTCTCCGCATACGCCCTTTTCTGTATGTCAGTTGGATGCTTGAAAAAGTTCTTCTCTGGGTGCAGTTTCCCACGGACTCCCAAGCTGTTTCCACATTGCTCTGTTGGTGGTATTGGTACCATCCTTGCCAATATGAATGGCTTGCCTCGAGCTAAATTATTGCTTGTAAAAGCAGCTAGCAAGGCACTGTTCCCCGGTAGCCTTCTTTGATCCAAACACACCGGTCGACTGTGCAGACCTCTCTCCCAAAGGGAGAAACATGAATGCCAACTCATAGTCAGCCAGGTCAGAGCTCTTTTTTCCCGTCTTTGCCATGACATACAAGGCCCAAGCCCCACATAGCTAAGTGCCTTTGAGCTCACATACTTTTCCACACTTGGATCTCATCAAAAAAAAAGAATAACTCCATGTCTGAAAAAGTCAGGCTAAGAAACCAGGCTACACCGTAGCCGACAACTCCTCGTCAAAACCACATCTCTAGCCAACCATGAAGATACAGCACTGCACAGTCTCCAAGGCAGGCAGAGCCAAAATGTCATTCTTTCTGAAAAGCCTGTACCCAGCTTGTGTTTAAACATGTAATAAAGGGCACAAAAGCAGTTCATTCCCCGTGCACCCACTCTACTTTGCAGCAGAAATGCCCTCCGTGATTAGCATGTATTGAGCATCAGGCAGACTACATCTTTTCAAAGCTTTTCTTTTTTTTTTTTCCCTTTTGGGGGGGGGGGGGGGGGGGGGAGGGGATTCTTTTTTTGCAGTTTTAGCTTCTATAGACAAGCTAACAACTTAGCTTCCAGCTTGTGTTTCGATTTTAGCAGCCTCAATTTAGACTGGCAGCATGCAAACATTGATTTCTCAACTGCACAAACTCACACCTTTCTTAACGGATGAACAGAATTTGCATCCCCCACTTTGTCTTTTGCTTTTTGAGCTAACTATTATGAATGCGGAGTGTTGCGTGGACTGACACAAGAGCTACACTACTCCCTCACTTACTCAGTGAGTGTACGACGGTTTTGTCTCCAAACTCTAGTCTTGTCTATGGCATAGGCGCATTCGGGACGAAGATTAAAAAATTTGCTTCGAATTTCCTCTTTCAGCACGAAAACTGGCTTCACTTAATAAGTCGAGCGCGTCGCTCGCGCCATGCTGGGCCTCCGAGACCTTTGCATAGCCGGTTTCGGACGACATTGGAAGCACTACGTTCCTGCCGAAAACGAGTGCCTTCGTTCGAAATTCTTCCGTTGTACTTTCTCGCAAATGGAGCACCCTCGCAGATCATGCTGGTGCATGCGGCCAACAGCCAAACCTCCGCGACGCAGAACGCCACGTGTCGGAGAGACGATGTCAGCAGGGTCGAGAAATTAAGCCATGCGTCCAGAGCACCAAGCTAGCAAAGCGGCACATGCGCAAACGAGCCTTCAAAGCGCCTCGCCAGGGGACGCCACCACCAACCTGCTTCTGCTGGCGCTGCTGGCGGGCTGGGGTGGGGGCGGTGCCCCTCGTCTGGGAGCGGGTCCTCCTGCGGCCAGAGTCCGGGTCACTGCTGTCCTTGTGGCCCAGCTCCTTGAGCAGGGCCTCCCCCTCCTTGGCTGCCACCTCCAGGTGACTCAGGCGCCGGGACGCCGCTGCCTTACTCTCCCGCTGTGGACGCCCCGACGACGTCTGTGAGGCGGGACAGAGAGAGAGAGAGAGGTTGGGCACCAGATGAAGCGGGCTCTCCCCTGTTCACCCCTAAAAGCTGGCTTACGCACTTGCGACAGCCCACGACTGAGTGCCTTACAATCTCTTGTGACGAAAAAACACACTGGCGCCTTCTATCGGGCAGGCATGGAACACTTGCCATTTCCGTATATTACCTTTTCCTTTTCGTGCATCATTCTTTCTTTATTGGCTCCAACGCTTTTTGACAACGTTACAAATGACCGTCCCTCGTAGATGGTATGTACATTTGATCTTGTAAACACTGCAAAACCTTAGCTCTAGCGAAATGCAGTTTGAAGGCCGCCTCGTAGACGGCGCCGGCGTGCCAGTGTTCTCTCGTATTTAAGAGATCGCGAGAGCTCGGTCATAGGCAAATGTAAGTGTATGAACCAGCCCAAAAGGGCCACTGCCAGCCCCAAGATCTACACATTATTCTTTCTTTTTCATTGTCTGAAACGCCTGAAAAGCGTGTGGGCACGCAAAAAATAAATAAAAAAATAAGAGCTTCTCCCTAATTCGAGCACACACCCCCCCCCCCCCCCCCTTTTTTTCTTTTTTCGATGACGTAATTGGCAAAAGCATTTTGAAACGTTAAGAGGTTTTGCAAGTTGCATGTCTGTAATAATTATTATTGTTATTCATAAAATATATTAATGCGAAAGCATTACATGTCCCATGGAGTGAGCCAACGTCATCAGTTTGGAGCGCAAAAACGGCGCCTAGTTTCCCTGACACTAGAGGTCCCATTGGCTGGCGCGCAGCAACGAGGCTCCCATTGGCCGCTGCGCGCGTCAGTTTCAACAATCGCCGCCAGATGGCGCTGCGTGTCCGTGCAGCCTAAAGCCCCTCTATCCTCGGAAAAGTGGCGCCATTCATTGTCGTTGACATGCTCGAGACATGCACCCGTGCCACTTCTGGGAAGAAAGAACATGGACTCTAAAACCTAGCTCAGGGCTGCGCTGTGCCGCCATGATCTTCACAAAGGCTGCACGTTGCATGCACCTTGCGCTACTTTTGAAACATTAAGGGGCTTTAGTACAGCGTAGAGTTCCCGTATAAGCTCCCTACGGGAGCCAGAGTTGCACGTTATCCCCGTAGCGCCGTCTTTCCTGCTTGACATGTTGATCCTGTTCCTCACGTGACTGAATTCGGCGAATAGCGGCACCGCGCATTCGAGGCGCACGGCCTGCTCCAAAGCAGGGGAACGTACGCCGAGGCACGGGCAACATCTACTTTCCAGCGCGGCATTTTATCCGGCTCCTGAAGTGATCGGATCTCAGCGACTAGCGGTGCGGCAGCACGTGAAAAACAGACGCGCAACTCTGGCTCCTGTAGGGAGCCTATACAGGAACTCTAGTGCCGCCAGCGCGCCGATAAAACTAACCGCCAGAACCCCATGCCTACTACAGGCCCTGTGCCGGTTAAAATGAACACATTGGCGCCTGCTCGGAGGCTCTTGCTCGTCTCTCCGCCGACCAACATACTGTCGCCTCCACTCTCCTCCACGACTGTAAAGGCACTAAACTGCCGATTGCAAAAAATAAAAATTAAAAAAGAATTGTTAATGATGAAACATCGGCTGTTTCCTAGCTTTTTCTTCATACTTTCAACATAATGGCACCCAGTGGCTGTGCTGAGGACAATCAGAGGGTGCGGGCACAACGGGGAAGTCGAGTACGGCACGGACGAGCTGTTGTTTTTTTTCTCGATGTTGAATAGCCTCATAAATAACCTCTCTTGCAGCACTTTTGCGACATCGCCTCTCACGTTGCTCACCAAGGGCTGCTACACGGCATTTTTTTCCTTACCTTTTTAAAAATTGTTTTAGACCAACTAACACGGCTAAAAAAAGAGGCACTGAAAATTGATCTGTCATCTGCACGCAAAGAAGGGTCTCGCAAAATACTGTCGGGGATGGTCAGGTGGCGCGTGCGCATGTTAAACGATAAGAGGGAAAGAAAGCTAAATGACACTTTCTCTTAGAAGTCATCCAAAAAGTCGAGGAGTGCACCATTTCGTTAACTACGTCATAGATTCGGGCACGCGTTTCAAATCAAGCGTTCTGAAAATATTACTTTTTTCTCCATAAAAATGCAGTTCTCAAGCTCAATATTTTTTGGGCGATCCCCGGGAATCATTTTCAGCCGTTTGCAATAATAAAAAGAATATCGATGTTGGGATTGTCAGTGGCCCTTTAAGCTGACAATGCTGTGGGAGTTACACGCTTGCCAAACCAGTCGAACGCCTCCCTCTCATCGCCCGACCCCGTTCTCTGCGCATGAGTACGAGAGGGAACGTGATGATGCGGTGAAAGGTGAATGCAGCGCTGGTTCAACAAGCATGTAGCTTCCGCCGCACTGTCAGCTTAGGAGCGCATGGAGTATGGAAGAACCAGAAAGATTAATTTCGGAACGCGCGTCCTGGCGGGTTACGTTTTACGTTACGAGTCGAGGGCGGGCACGATCGAAGAGTGGCTTTATGCCACGTTCCACCTGTGCGAGCAATTGTACAAAAAGGGCACTTTCAGAAGCAACATACTTGCACACGCTCCTCATAGCATTGTGCACGGCCCATTTTATCGGTCAAAATGTTAATTACATCGCTTAGGAAAGGAATGCCTACAAAACTGAAGTTTCATTGAGAGCAAAGTGGTCAACACTGAACCTTTCAAATGAAGTATCGCACATTATTTGTGTTGCTCATTGCACCAGTGGTTTAAAAGGGGCGACCTAGTCTATATTATTAGGCTTTTTTTAGGTATTGCCATGCCTCACATGTACACAAGAACATGGTTTTTTTTGCAAGTATATTGCATGAAGAATCTAATAAAAATTTAAGACTAGATGATTTCTGCAGAGAAGGTTAAGCACCATAAACTGTAAAAGTTTCCTTACGATATAGTAAAAAAATTTTTCCCCTGGCACATCTCCTTAAAGGGGGGTGCAATGATTTCCAGACTTCGGTAAAAATTTGTGGAAGTTGCCTTCTGACACTTTTGAAGTAAAGAACAGAAAACCGAATACGCCAGTGTGTCCTAGTTGTGTAAAAAAAAAAAAAAAGATAAATATTGGCATTTCTGGCATTCCTTAACTCACTCCCAGCCTTCAGGGTCACACCTAGTCGCATTCCTATAGTCGGTTGCAAGTTAAGAAGGTAGGAGAAGCTCCTCCCACAAGTGTGATGCGCCCGTTTCAAATCTCTCCGCAGTCGAAAGAAGAGTTCACTGGAAACGCTCCTTGTTCCGCTTCAATGGATTCCCACTTGTCTCCAATCCCACTTTTTAAGAAAGCGACCTTTGTATTTATTCATCGGAGAGGGAACCGAGCCCTTGAAAGCAGCCTTTGTATCCATCGGGGGGGAAGCTAATCCCCGAAAGTCGTATTTGTTTCCGTGGGTGGGGGAGAACTCTAATCTCCCTCTCGTGGCTTCCACAATGCTAAGTCAAAGTGGAAAGATAAAGCAAATATGTACAGAAAGGCAAGACACTCCTCGCGCGCTGGCCGCGACGTCACGGAAACGGTGGGACGCTATTGGATGCGGAGGTGGCGGAGGGATATCCGATTCCCTTTGAGGGGCATTTGCCGCTACCTTCTTAACCTGTAACTGACTATAGTGACGTAACTCGGGGTGACGTGTAGGCTCCCATAAGCTCTCTCGGAGGACGCTTCCTCTCCCTCCCTCTGCTGACATTAGCGGGCGTTATGTGCAGCTTAGAGCCGAGTGGGGTCACATAAGCTCCTTACCATAGTTTTTTCAGCTGCCACTAGCAGCTGCAGGTGGGGGGTAAAGCTAGACTTTTTGCTTTGCGATTATGCAGCGGAATTGCGACATTTTTTAATGAAGGAGATATTTACTCTGTCTTCCGGGGCACAATAAACAACATAAAAATGACGAGATGCAAATTGTTTTAATTTTAAAATCGTTGCACCCCCCTTTAATTTTCAAGTTGAGTGACAAGGCAACGACAGTTCACTCTCATGGTCTAATGAAAAATTCCATCACTTTCTTGTGGCAGTGCCATTTTAAATCTTGTTATTGCATCAGGTATGGACCGAAGGTAGTCACATAACTAATCGAAGATAAAAAAAGGGGGGTGTTGCAGAGAGATTTGGCTGTTTTAATATGTTAAACACTACTACTTATAGCCCCAAACATCCCACCCCCCCCCCCCCCTACGTTGACCCCCGACCTTTCAGGGGTGGCCTATCTGGCCCACATACATCTGAGACCCCTGTCCTAAAAGGAATGCATTCCAGGAACACTGCTTCATACAACACTGGATAGCAGCATGCTGCAGCGTGACACTTTTACCAATATCAGCAGGCAGAAACGGAGGGAACTTTTTTGAGGACATGCTATATGCGTCATTCGAAGATGCGATCAGGATCCATACCCCGGGGCCCGATTTGGGTTATAGTAAGAGCGAGAGTGTTCTCGGCTGCCAAATGGACGTGGTACCATAGTTTGAGTGCAATAAGCCTTCAAGATATTCTCGACCCGTTTGCAACTTTACAAGTTAGAAATATTTTGGTGAGAATGTCTCACCAATATAGAACTAACGACAGGGGTCTCACGGCCTCCTTCGTCCACCGTTCAACATTGGGTTGTGCACGGCAGCGGAACAACTTGAGATCTGCAAACAAGCGCAGGTTGTCGACAGTGTCACACGTGAAACGGCGGATGACCACAGTTTCAACCTGCATCCAATCTCACTTCGCCGTGGCACTTGTTTTGCAGTGGACTATGGACTTTTTTTTTTTCCGGCCTGTTGGCGGACGAACTGCGTTCTTCGCTCACACTGGCAGGCAAACGGCCTACGACCCTGCCTTCGCTTGCTTTGCAAGAGGCAAGTTAGATCTCGCAGTGACCGGAACGGACCCCTGGTGCATTGATACGATCTAACAGCTCCCCGCAGAACGGTGCAGCGTTCCTTACCCTAGCCGGCTCCACCTTGGACTTCTTGGCAGCTGGGCCGTCGCCATTGGCTTCGTCGTCCTTGGCAGCCGACGCAGCTCCACTGTCCCTGTCCTCCTCTCCTGTGGACGCCTGTGAAACGAGAGCTCTTACGAGGCGAAGAGAGACCAGGTCCTAGGAAAGGATTACTCTTGCCCAACCCAGGCACGAAAGATTACCTACCTACGGCTGGCGAGGCAAAAACACGGATGACAGGATTGTCGTCCGCGCTTTCGTACTGCCAGCCTTGCAGCTGTTGCATGAGTGGTAACTCCTAGTGCATCCCCACACTTCCTTTATAAAAATCGACTGATTTATTAGTTTTCAACTATGCTTAGCAAGTTTTTAATAGAAGCACACATTTATTTTCACCAAGTAAAAAGCTATGAAGATATATTAGTTCATTACCCTATTTATCGTGATAATTAGCCCTCTTTATTACGTCCCCTTGGCTGTATAACTCACGTGCACTGAAACGCATTAGTGTAACTTTCACGCCTTTGTTTTTTTATGTGAAAAACTTCATTTTTAACCAGTATAGCTTCTCCCGTATGTCTCGTATAAAAAAGATATAGCTTCTGCCGGATGTCTCGCATAGAAAAGAAAGTTTACTGCAATGGCGATTAAGTTCATAAAGTCCATTCACACCAGGAGAGCACATAAAATCTAGTATAAAACCCGACGAATGCCGCGACCGAAGTTCCGGTACAAGCTGCGCTAGAAGGGGGCCACCACCAAAAGCGTTAGAACCAGTGTTTCTATCATCGCTACACCATAAAAGAAAATATGGGCACGGTATGTTCAAAATCACGACCGGTCGCGATCGCAACAAATGCTGAAGCTGGCAAGCGGCGCCAACGACAACCGAGAAAGCGTCGCAGCTGGTAACCATGACGACGCTCCGAAATTGCATCTCATTACGACAGATGGCGAGACGAGCGGCTCGCGAAACTCCCGCTCCACGGATCGCCCGCCATTATGGACGTTGGGAAGAACGCCGAAAGCGATTTTCGAAATTGCGGCGACCGTTGCGATGCCGCCGACACCGGTGACGTTTCTTAACGCACCGGGCCCGCGGGATCGCCCCGGTACCGACAAGAGGCCTGAACACGCCGCACCACGTGCCGAACACAGGGCTTCGGCGAGCGGCGACGTTCGGCCGAACGGTTGTTGTTGTACGCCACACCACGACGCGCCGTGCGTCAGGTCGCTGCGTTTGCGAGATTGCCGACGGTTCGATTCGGATCAAAGATGGGCGCACTTACCAGGGGGTCCTGGTTGGAGCGTTCTTCTACCTGGGCATCCGGTTTGTTTTCGGACATTTCGGCGAGATTGTGGCAAGCCGTGTAGAAGCGCGAATCCCTCTGCGAATTGCCCCACCGACCACTCGCACGGGAGTTTGAAGGACGGCGTGGGTCACGTGATCTGGCGACTCGCGCCGCCACTGGGTGAAAACTGGAACCACGTGCGGAAAGCGCCAACTTCAAAGCGCCGTAAAACTTTCAAAAACAACAACGACAAAAAGCTGCTGTTAATACTGTAGGTTGATGTGTGCTAAAGTGAAGGGCAACGTTTTGAAGTCATATTTTCACGGAAAGTAGCGCCAGTGGTAGCGCCTTCAGAGGAACGAAACCCATGGAAGTGCAGTTTTCTCCGTTTTCTCCTCAGCCTCAATCAACAAGTGTGTTAACTCGCAAAAAAAAAACAAAAAAAAAAACTGTTTTATTTTTTGGTTTTTGGGGAAGTTGGAACGTACCCAGTTTTGCAGCCTCTGCTGAGGTAGTAGGTTTGTAGGTTGCTCAAGGGTGTGTTGGAGCTCTGTCGAAGAGCACTTTCGTCCTTGAAAACTGTTCGCAGCCAAAATGACAGAAGACCGTGCAACCAAGTCGGGTGGCACTCAGTTGGTCAAACGATATTTTAGCAAACGCCGACTTTTCATCGAAAGACACTTTAGCGAATAGTCGGCCGCCGCGAAGCGGCGTTTACGGGTGGGCCAAGTGAGCTAACATTTTTTAATGAGCCGCCGCAGACTGCCGCCGCGAAGCGGCGTGAGTGCAGCGCGGTTTCGCGTCCCCGTTATTCGCTAAAACGTCGATTCGCTCCAATGGTGCTGTTCGCTAAAACGTCATTCGCTCATGTGATATGGACCCCAATTACGTTCATTGGACGCCATATGTGAACGTGTTGCACACAGCGTTCATGCACATAATCTCTGCACAGAACAAAAACGGGCAGCAGGTTGTGTGGGACAACTGGCATTCGAGTTAACCGGACAAAAGCTCACCGGACAGAAGCTCACCCGTTTTTTCACAAACCCAAACAAAAACTCAACTCTTTTTTTTTTTTTTTTGTTACTCGGGTGAAACACGGGCTGGGAAAAAGTGCGGAGGCGATGAACATAGCACCATTTTTAGGAGAACTGGCATCCCATCACATGGAAAGGTGTCGAAAGATAAGCCATAACAGGCAGAGAAGCAACGATTTGGGACCAAAATTAAGGTCACTGGAAACCGGAAACTCGGAAAGTGGTTGCTTGATTCAAGGCATGCCGAAGCATCCTTGCGCCACGCCCGAGAAACTTCGTGAATCGAAGTTTTTGAACCCAAAGAGTGACCGAAGAAGCGAAGTCACCCTTCGGTGACCTCGATTTTTCATTGTGCTCATGTCACGCTAAACGCGCACATAAAGGTTAGGCACACTGTCTCTTCATTACTAATGCATGGGTTTTCTTGGGGTTCAGGGTAATATTTAAAGTGAATGGCTAGAAAAATTTAATTATTTCCGTCATTGAGTGATTGTAAATGTGTTTGCAGTCAAGGATTATCTCGAGGGTGATGTGAAAGGGAAACTGAAGCAAAATCGTAATATACAAACCATTGAGTGGCGATTTATATATATACATATATATATTGAAGGAACGGGAGTTTGGCCTTTTGGACAAGTACGAGACAGATGACCAATTTCGAAAGCTGTGCGGGACTTTGGATAGGCTGGCGTTCCTTCCACCAGAACTTGTGCCCGAAGAACTAACCTACATCAGGGAAAAGTCTACCGGTGACATCGGCGACCTGCTCGACTACTTTGATTGCGCGTACGTCAACGGCCCCTTCCGTTGTGCTTCTGCTCCTTCTGCGGCGGCGCCCAGTGCGAATTCTTCTCTTTGCCTGACTGTGCGCCAACGAAGACCGGAGTGTCCCCCGGAACGGTAGAATACGCCACTCTTCAAAATAAAGACCGGAAGAACAACACCTGCGAAGGATGTGATCACTACTGCGTGATGCACGTTAAAAACCCCAGGTTACCGGTTTTACTGCACTGGCTAAATTTCTCATCTACTAGGTGTCATAAAAGAAAATTTACACTGTTTTTACCGCAAAAATAATCGCCGAACGCTCATTCTCCGCCCAAAGGTAGAGCCACAGGTCACAACCAGATGCCAAAGTTTCAGCCCGATCCGATAACTTAATCAAAAGTTATAAGTGATTTTCTGAAAATTTTAATGGGAAAATGGAGCCCATTTTTGCCTGTTTTCGGTTTCTGGTGCCATAGAGCCCCATGTGTTTGAAATCTCCGTTGGCCGCCATTTTCCCATTGAAATTTTCAGAAAATCACTTATAACTTTTGATTAAGTAATCGAATCGGGCTGAAACTTTGGCATCTGGTTGTGACCTCTAACGCTACCTTTGGGCGGAGAATGAGCGTTCGGCGATGCCTAGTTTATTTTTGCGGTAAAAAAGACCGTGTAAATTTTCTTTTGTGACACCCTCTACAGCTAAAAGACCGATTACCCGTTGAGGCGCATCGCCATCAAGGCTGTATAAACGTGCAGAGCAAACCATTTTTTTTTTTTTTTTTTTTTTTTTATCTGCGAAGGATCAAATACCGGGTCCCAAAAGTTTGTCGGCCACGCCTATCCAAGCGTCTGGAGGCTGATTGAATGCCTACAAGGAAATCAGGCGCTCGATGACACAATCCCGGAGGGGTGAACCCCCAGAGACCCAGGTCCGAAAAAAAAAAAAAAAAAAAACGCATCTCCACGTGGTGAATGATGTTGATTGGGGCGAAGCTCTGGTGGGTGCTCGTCTGCGTAGACGCTAAGCCGCAGCATGCCGAGCCTTTCGTTCGTTTTCATCCATGTCACGCTGCAGTCAAATGCTCAAATACGTATATAACCACGTTCCATACCACACATTCTCTTTCTGATGTGGAAGAAAACGAACGAAAGGCTCGGTATGCTGCGGCCACGGTGGCTGCGACTCGATCACTGTCTACGCAGACAAGCACCACCAGAGCTTCGCCCCAATCAACATCATTCACCACGTGGAAATGCGTTTTTTTTTTTTTTTCCCTACACAAGTGTTTCAAAAAGGCGTGTTATCGAACGTAACTAGTTTAATGCTTGACAAAAGGTTACAACGTGGACGGTATCTGCGTCCGCCATGCTCGCCGGTTTCTTCGTCTCCTGGCGTAGAGGAAGGGGGAAGGCGCGTACGCCACCGCATGCCTTGGGTGGTGGCGCCATCTGTCGGCTCATCTTGTAACATCCTCCTTTGTTTAAGTAGGGACTACCCCACAATAAAGTCTTGAAACTTCTTTGGTAGAGCTGCTGTTCTCTTTGGGCGCGTAGGGGTATGGATTGGGGCGAATTGGTGGTCAGGCTCGTACGTCTCAGGTACTGGTGTCGTGTCTGGTTCGCGCTGAGGGGAACTTTTGACCTGGGGTGTTCTGTGGTGCCCACGATCGTCCTGAGTAGTAGTAGGGACATCTGCTTCAGCCTGTTGGCAACTGGGTACATCTCGTATGTGCACTCTGTTGCGGCGTAGCACGCCGTCACTGACCTGTACCTTATATGACCTGTCACCACATTGCTCCTTGATGGTTCCCTTTGTCCATAATGCTTCTTTGGTTGGGAGAACCATCACATCTTGTCCCATGCTCAGAGGATGGAGGTCTTTAGCCTGTTTGTCGTGATAGAAAACCATCCTTCGTTTCTTCTGCTCCAACTGGTTTCTGGCACTGACAGTTTTTGGCAGCAGCTGCTTAGTCGTTGGTACACATGTGCGTGTGCGTCGACCCATGAGGAGCTGTGCAGGGCTTGCATGCATGTGTTGCAGCGGCGTGTTACGATGGTCGAGAAATGCCATCTGAGGATCGCCATTGCTTTCGTCTGCTTTCTTTAAGAGCATTTTGACAGTCTTCACGGCAGACTCAGCCATACCGTTCGATCTTGGGTATCGTGGGCTGGACGTGACATGTTCGAAATTCCAATCGATTGAGAATTTGTTGAACGCTTCACAAGCGAACTGTGAGCCGTTGTCTGTGATCAGAACACTTGGGATGCCGTGTCTTGCGAAGTGTGCTTTCAGTCTGCGTATCACATGGGCAGATGTTAACGAGTTGAGTTGGTCGACCTCCCAGAAGTTGCTGTAATAGTCCACTGTGACTAGGAAGTGCTTGTTCTTGTGCTCCAGTATGTCGCATCCAACACGTTCCCACGGAAAGTCTGGTCTCGGGTGTGGTTTCAGCGTCTCTCGTTGTTGCGCTGGTGCATGTTTCTGACACACATTACAGGCTGATATGTGGTCCTTGATTTCAGCATTCATGCTCGGCCAGAAAATACTGTCACGTGCACGTCGTAGAGTGCTTTCGATACCCATGTGTGATGAATGTAGCTTTTCTTTCATCTCTCCCCGAAGTGCTTTTGGTATCACCAGTCGTTGTCCCTTGTAAACAATGTCATCTTCCACGACAAGTTCGTCTCGGAAAGGGAAGTACATCCTGATTTCTGGTGCAACATTGTGCCTTTCCTGTGGCCATCCTGTTAGGATCACTGCTGTCAGCTTTTGCAAGGTTTCATCCCTCAGGGTTGCGTTGCGGATCTTCTCTGCAGTATCCTTTCGCACAGGTAGGTGGTTCACCACGTTGATGTCTTCAAGCTGCTGTTCGCAATGTTCGTCTGGCAAGAATGCTCGTGACATCGTATCGGCCAGTAGAAGTTCCTTTCCTGGTCGGTACTGCAGGTCAATGTTGTAGCGTTGAGTCTGTAGGATCATCCCTTGCAGTCTTCTTGGAACTTGGTCCAGCTGCTTCTTCATGATGGCTTGTAGTGGCTTATGGTCTGTGATTACAGTCGTCAGTCTTCCGAAAGTGTACTGGTGAAACTTGTTCAACGAAAAGACTATGGCAAGCATCTCCTTCTCTATCTGCGCATACCGGACTTCAGTAGGCGTGAGAGCTCTGCTCGCAAAGGATAATGGTTGTCCATCTTGAAGGAGTGCAGCTCCTAAGCCACGTTCACTGGCATCGCATTGTACCATCAGCGGTTTCTGCGGATTGTAATATGCCAACACTGGGGCTCTTGCTACCAAGTTCTTTGTCTCTTGAAATGCGTTGTCTTGTTCATCGCTCCATGCCCATGGTTCACTGTTGATGACCAGCTTTCTGAGCGGTTCTGTGACCTGGGAGAGCTTTGGCAGAAAGCGTGCAAGGTAATTGACCATTCCACAAAAGCGTTGCACACCTTGGACGTCAGTTGGTGGGGGCATTTCTTGAATGGCTCTGACCTTTTCAGGGTCAACACGTAGTCCGTCTTTTGTCAGCAGGTGCCCCAGAAATGTTGTACTTGTGCGATGCAGCTCCGTCTTGTCTCGGTTGAGTCGCACACCAATCTTCTGACATCTCTGCAGCAGGTTTTCCAGCTTCTTGTCATGGTCACTGCGCGCTTCTGCATCGGTTTCGCCGATACCATACACTAGAATGTCATCTGCCACACACAGCACACCACTCAGTCCATCCAGAGCTGACTGCAGTCTTTTCTGAAAGATTTCACTACTGACAGCAAGTCCAAATGGAAGGCGTAGCCAGCGGTAACGTCCCATTGGTGTCTGAAAGGTGGTGAGTACACTTGACTCTTCGTCCAAAATGCACTGCCAATAGCCGTCACGCAGGTCCAGCTTCGAGAAGACCTTGGCTTTAGCAACTTCGGGCAGAATGTCGTCCAAGATTGGCAAGGGGTGTCGCTCTCGCTCCAAAACTTCATTAAGAGCTTGAGGATCAATGCAGATTCTCATATCACCATTTTTCTTCGTGGCAACAACCATTCGGCTCACCCACGGGGTTGGTTCGGTGACACTTTTGATGATTCCCCTTTGTTCTAGGTTTCTGATTGTCTTTTCTAGCTGCGGTTTAACACTCACTGGCACCCGACAGCCTGTCACCGCCTTTGGGCTTGCAGCAGGTTTAGTCACCAGGTGTACAAGTCCAGGTAATGAGCCTAAAGACTGTCCGAAGACGTCGGAGTGTCTTTCCATGATCTGTTCCAGTGCACCCTGTGCACCTGCAGCACTGATGCTGGCAACCAGGCTGTAATTCACTGTGATCAGTCCCATCTGCTCGGCTGTCTTTCGTCCGATAAGGGGTCTGAGGTCATCACGCACCACGACAAAGTCAACAATGTGCTTGTGTCCATTAGCAGTGGTTACATTCAACCTCGCCTTGCCGTATGGCACTACCTTGGTACCATTCCACATTCTCAGCGTTGTAGACGTCGGCATTATCTGATCAGGCGACACATTTCTCTTAGTGATGACATTTACAGCAGCCCCGCTGTCAACCTGGAACCTTATTCCTTCTTGGTTCAGATTTAAAGTCGCAAACAGTGGACTTGGTTTGCCGCTTTGCACCATCAGTATTTCATCTGTGTCGTCTTCTGGCTCCAAACTGGCAACAGTCTTGCTGTTTTTACACACAACTGCAAAATGGTTCTGTTTTTTGCATTTGTTGCATGTTTTGTTCCATGCTGGACAAGCATTTCTAGCACGTGCATGATCGCTTCCACAGTACTTACAATGCTGTACTGCTTGATTCGAACTTGTCTTTTTATCTTTTGCTCGGTCAACAGGTGGTAGACGACGGCGTCTGTCTTTCACTGCATGAACTTCCTCAGTTGCTGGTCTGCCTTCCTTGAAGACTTTAAGTTGCAGCTTCGTTGACTCATGCGCTAGACATACCTTGACAACCTTTCCAAGCGACGGTTCATCAAGTTTTAGAATGTCCGCTCGCGCTTTCTCGTCATTCACTCCGCAGACAATCTGGTCTCGAATCATCTTCTCCTTTTCAGGTCCGAAGTTGCAGTCCCGAGTCTTCAATTTGAGATCGGTTAAAAACGTGTCGAACCTCTCGTCGGGGAGTTGTACTCGAGTGCGAAAGATGTAGCGTGAGTACACTTCGTTCTGCTTCGGCAGAAAGTGCGCATCCAGTAGCTTCACAACGTGGTCGAAGTCAAATTCAGGGTGCGGTCTCGCTTCCGTACACTCTCCGAAGTCCAGAGTATTGTAAATGTCTAGCAGGCTTGGTCCTCCAACCGTGAGAAGAAGTGCGACTTGCCTTTCCGATGATGCTCCAGCGGCATCGGTCGCTTTCAGGTACAGCGTGAAGGCTTGTTTGAACGTGCGCCATTGTTCCGCAGCGTTGCTGGCGTTTTCAAACTTCGGCGGCGGCGGGATCCTGTCCATGCTTGCTTCCGTGGTCGTGGCGGTCGTAGCTCAAGCGTTGGCTATTGCCGCTTCTGACACCATGTTTCAAAAAGGCGTGTTATCGAACGTAACTAGTTTAATGCTTGACAAAAGGTTACAACGTGGACGGTATCTGCGTCCGCCATGCTCGCCGGTTTCTTCGTCTCCTGGCGTAGAGGAAGGGGGAAGGCGCGTACGCCACCGCATGCCTTGGGTGGTGGCGCCATCTGTCGGCTCATCTTGTAACAACAAGCACGCGAGCACGTGTTCACGTGCTCGTGAGCACGTAGGCGCGTGAGCTACTAGAGCAGGAGCACGTGCACCCGACGGCGGACGGACATACAGACATGGCTAGCCCCAGTGGCTAGCCCCTAAGGAGCTTCGCCCCTAAAACCACTCTGCTGGAGCTAGTAAGGGACTGCACTTGCTTCTAACCAATCGATAAATAAACTTGTTTCTACTCTAATTAACAAACCATGCGCCTGCCAGCTTTAATTTATCGTTGCATTTTAGTGTCGCGCGCATGCACCTAAGTTCTCCGCACTCGTGTACCAACATAAAATTTTCTCCTGGTGAGCTTTTGTCCGGGTCTGTGAAAAAATGGGTGAGCTTTTGTCCGGGATTCGGCATTCGACACGGGCACAACACCGGAAGTTGTCAGTTATCCGCCTGGAAATGCCATTTATTGCACACGATATGGAAACTAGTCAGTGGAAGAAAGGATGGGGAGGAGGAAATAAACTAAACGCTGAAGCAGTGGCGTACCAACTTATTTTTGAGTGAGGGGGCAAACCAGACACCCCCCAGTGCCGGGGGGTGCCCTTGGTATCCCATGGGCGCCGAGTGGCGGCTGTTTCAGGGGGGGGGGGGGTGGGGGGGAACACATGCCTTGCCTCCCCACTCTGAGAACTGGGGGGGAAAGCGCCCCCCTTGCCCAGGTTGGTCGGTACGCCCATGCGCTGAAGAGAGGAGGAGGTTTCCTCCTCTTTTCTCCAGCATTCCGTCTACTCCCACCTCCCAACCCTACTTTCCCCAAAAAACATTTTTTAACCTGTAACGAACCATAGATGGCGCAAGCTACTACCTATTACAACAATTACATCTACTATGATCTATCTACCCCTCTTCTTGCACCTTTTGCGCCGCACCCTCGCCCCCCCTTCTTGTAGCGCTTTGATTGGGATTGTTTATGTTGGAAAAGGGTACGAGCGATCCGAGAGGCCCGTGGAGTCCGAGGACCGAGGTTCTACGGGGCTAAAACGCGGCTGTGCAATGATGATGAGTAGCCTCCATTTCTGAGTGTGCCCGAGAAGTTGTACTACAGTCTCATTATCCAGCTGAAATGGGAATGCTAAAACGTTCTCACAACTCCTGCCTGGTGAAAGGTAGGTCATTCGGCTGCTACGCTTCACCCGTTTCCAGTCACAGGATCCGAGCTCGCCAAGCGCATGAATTACATGCATTGGTTACATGCATCTCTTTTCAGGCCTGTTCGCCTCACTGGCAGTGACGTGCCTTGTGGGACTCTACTACGGGTACCGTCTCATGGTCTCCAACGAAGCCATCCTCACATTTGGAAGAACTGTCGGTGAGTACGCATCTGGCCCTGTCAATCACGCCGAAACTACTGGAAGGAAGTACCACTTTGCTAATCTTCTAAACACTTTGGTATACTCTAAGAAGCCGGGTGTCAGCAACGGGTATGGGTCATCGCTGAATGTTTCTACGCTGTTCAGTGTTTTTTTTTTTCCAAATTCATTCAATCAGAAGAAACTGCTATCCTTGACTGAGGTGGCTCACAAAGTAAGGGCAATGATTTCAGATTTCCTTCACAAAGAGCAATGATTTTGTGCAATGATTTCAGATTTCCTTCACAAAGAGGAATGCCCGTTCTAAGTAAATTCTTAGTCTCCTTCCTTCGTGGAAAGCAATGAATAGTTACAATGAGACGTGTCTGCCCTTTCACCCATGCACAGTTTTCGAAACTTTCTCTAATACACCATATTCATGGGGCCTGTTATTTGGTGCGCGCTAACGTCAAACTTCCCTTCTCCAACTTCATGCAATGAATTGCTTCCGTCTTGACACAAGAGGTTGTGCACATATTGCTCACAATGTTGCAGCTCTTCAGTGATTGTATTGAGCTTTGCAATGCTTCGCTTTCACTTGCGCTTGCTCCATGCTATACACGACATGACGCATGACATCACACTAGGGAATGACGGACCCCGCACCATGCTGCTGTTTGACTTTGTACCATGCGCATGCACTTTCAAAGCGTAGCATGTTGCTAACGGCTCTGATGTTCGCTGACATGCACCATATTTTCAACAAAAGTGCCTAGTTTTGGACATATAAACTTTAAAAGAATGTGTCGAGCTTACGAAGGTTACGTTCAGGTCATTATGTGCAGAAGTTTTCGGCTTTGGTGCGATTGCGCTGAGAGCTGAAAATTTTGATATGTCACCGACGAAGTTTGGACAAAAAGGACTGTCGTACTATCGAAATGAGCTTCATTACACATTTCGGGACAATTACTGAAAAGGTCACAATTGGAAGTTTCTGGAAGTAGTAAAATTGCTCTGATTTCGCAAAGTATGGGTGAGCAACTCGAACATTACCGTGTTGCGGACGGCACAAGCCGATGCCTTAGCAACGGCGTCTCGGCAAGTGCACACATGTGGGCCACCGCCTGACCGGTCTTGCGGCATGACGCACTCGCCTATACTCAGCAAGGGAGCCCCAAGAAGGTATGGTTGAAGCATGGAAGCAAGGTGATGAAGTGAAAGGTAAAGGGTACCCACATCACGAACGGGCAAAGCCGACCAAAGGCGTGCACGAACGTAAGCAACGTTAGAGATTGCTGTCACTCGCTGCTATGATACGCGTTCTGCAAACTCGGTAATGTGCGGCCGCATCCCTTTTCACTTATACTGCTCTAACTTGATGGCTACTTTGTTGCGGGGTATGCTGATGAAGCAATTGCCAGGATACATACCAATTGCTACAGCCAAACACGGCACAGTTTGCAACGGCTCTCGCTGCGGGGGGCCGTCGACTCAACCACCAGCATGGTGGTTGCCAGCATTCAATGTCATTGTGTGATGTAGGTGCAAGCCATGTATAGTCTACACAAGAAGTGAGGTAGTGGGTGCAACTTTTCGTAAAACTTTCATCTGCTCTGCCCCTTTGCGTGTTGGCTTTTTGCAGTAGAAGTTGAACTGTGAAAGACGCAGCAGTTGTTGCAAGCACATGAGCCGCACTACAGGGGAAGCAAAGCAGCATGTGTAACTACCATATTTGGTTCCTCCTTGCTGTGTATTTGTACGCCCTCACTAGATGGCACCGCCGACCCACTTCGTAACGACTGCGCCGAAAAAGGCTAAGAAACTCTCGTCAGAGGGGGCCGACTCTAAAACCGCGAGATGGGAGGCTGCTGTCATTCCGGCCGCTGTTTATTAGTTAATAAAGTGTCATGTTAAACCCCAACTTCAAAGTACATAACACCCCTCAAGAACCGTGGTGAAGAAAATTTGGCACTTCATGGAGAATTACTAATTTTCTCCTTTATAATGCAAGGAGCATAATCTTTTTCTTTGGCAATCAAATCTTGTTCAAATCTTGTAAGAAATACTTTGCACAGAGCATGAACTACTGTATGCAAAACCTGCTTCTTTCTTGAGGTAAAATTGAGCATAACTTTCCTGACAACTAGGAACACAAAATGCTGCATTCGTGCTGCATTTGCCTTTAATATCAAGTCTGCAAGATGACATTCAAAGGTTGTTCATTAACTTTGTCCGGCGCGTACTGGAAAGTGAGAGGCCCGGACTTCAAGAAATGAGACGTTGGAACCTCCTGATTTAAAGATTGGCCTTCGTCATCGAAGAACCATGCTGTGCACCCTTTAAGAGTTGCAAAGGGGCAGGCATTGAACCATTTTCTCAGATCAGTGGCATCACTAGGGTCAGCGGCACCTGGGGCAGTGGCTTGTTGTGATCCCCCCCCCCCCCCCCCCCCCCCTTTTTACGGCCCGCCACGACACCGGGAGACAGACCCCCACCCCCCCCCCCCCCACCCCCCCCTCTCCAGTGACACCACTGTCTCGGATGGTTCATATCATTGCAAGAGATTGTGTCATCACATACTTCCTTCTCTCATGGTTTACAAGAAACAGTTTAAAGCCAAGCCATTGGTTTTTTTCGGCTTGCTTCTGATAGATGCAGGCGTTGGTGGACGAAAAATTGTCCTTCTGTGTTGGTTTATCTCTTAGGAGTGAAGTCCAGTTTGTGTGGAGACAGTATTCTTTTTTCTTCGTCAGTTTCAAGAAAAGAAAATCGGATTCCTTAGTTTCTGTGTTCTTTATAATTGCAATACATTCCTTTCATTTTTTTTTGGGGAGGATAAAAAATTGATATGTGAGAGGCATGATTCTTTCTTTTTTTTTTTACTTGAAAGATTATTTAGTTTTTCTCAACTTAATTGTCAACCTAATTAAACTTTTGCCCAAGTTTCACTATTTTGTAGAGTCACAATGTCAAATTTCTGCATGTCTCCTGGTCTAATCAGTGGAACACTGTCAAAATCTTTTATATAAATTGGGATTCTTAATCTTCTTCGCATTCTCGTCGGTGCAGCGCATCTATTGAAGGATTTGTCCTCTGATGGTGCTCTCTCAGTTGCGGTGACCCTCGCTCACGTGCCTCCTGTTTGTGCAATGCCTCCTAAGTGACAAGGCCACAGCCAGGGTCGGATTGAGGTATCGGCTAATGCAGGGGCAGATCCAGGGGGGGGGGGGGGTCGATAGGGGCGGCTCCCCCCCCCCCCCCCCCCCCCCCCCCCCCCCCCCCCCAAACAAAGTCGACCCCCTCCCCTCCCCCTTTTCGGAGGACAATTTCACATGGGTGGACCCCCCGGTGCACAAGAAAGAACAGGAGAATCTTATATTTTTAAACTTTCCGTCCCCCCCCCCAAAACGGAGTTCTGGATCCGCCCCTGGGCGAATGGGCTGCAGCCTACGAGCTGTTAGGGGAACCCAGGCTGAAGATCGAGGGAAAAAAATATTAAACCCAAGACATATTTCGGTCTGAAAATCGATAGAGAAAATTGATACAGTGGTGGAAGCTGTTAGATTACTGCATTCCGTTCGCCTTAAAATAGTAATTTACTTAAATGGTGATTTTAACCCGAGGCTGGGGTAGAAGGAGGAAATATTTTTATTTACGCTGCAAGAGAAAGTAACAGGCACATCGTAGAGATAATTGCTTTTCTTTATTATTATTTTTTTTTTTTTGACCGTCAGGACAGCATTTTTTGCTCTGTTTTGTTTATCCTGTTGGCTGCGCCAGTGATGATAGGAGTTTGGTTTCCCCGACCTTGATGGACCACCATGAGGTTGCCAATGAGGACCGGGGGATCATAAATGAAGCTAGTTGCTGGAGGGCTGGATGCATAAGTGGTGATGTAGAGGCAACCGACAACTCGTTCGGTTAACGAAATTGACAGAACTTTACTTAGATAAAAAAAAAGAGAATCAAACAGTTACATAAAAGACAAGTGTGAACAGGTCACACGCTGTAATAAACTGCCGAGCACGGCTTACAGACTGCAGGGGACGCCTCGGCGTCAGATGGTCTTACCGCACGTGGTAAGGACTGCGACTACCTTGTAGCCGTGAAGACGCTGTTGTGCATGACAGGTAACGTGGCGCACCGCGGGAGCTGAGCGTAAGTTGGGTCGCTCACGAGCCCGTTTCAAAGATTTTCTTGTCTGGCTGGGGCCTAAAAGAGTGTACTCAAACCCATCCAGGCCAATCAGGGTTCGACCCCTGGTCCCATTGGCTAGAGGAACCAACACACTTTCAACCAATCAGGTGAGAGGTCATTGCTCCGAGAGTAAACCATAAGCCAATTCTTGGTTCTCAGAACCCGAGGATACGATACAGCTTATGGCTTTCTTATATGCCACAGAAACACATTCGCGAACCACCGAGACATGTCAGCTGGAGCGCGTCTATGCCACCACTAAATGCCATTGGCAACTCCTTGGTCACCGGGTGTCACGGAAGATTTCCAAGACACGACTCCGAGGGCTCTGAAGCACTTTGTCTCCCAGCAAACAACCTGGCGACCAAAGACGTGTTTATGTCTCGGCCGTGGGTTCCCCAGAAAGCCCTTACGTCTGGTCCTGCATTTCAAGGTCAAGGGGTAGATGCAGGCGGTGCTGAGACAGCAGCCTCTCGTGGGCAGGTTAAGTGTTTTCACGTGAGTTAGAAAACCAAGGTTCCGCACAAAATGTCAAGAAGAGGGCGACATGCCCGTGGCCATTTCCCCTGTGCTGGGAAAGCTCATAAACAATCAGAATTCCGACTCGTAACATCGCGGGACTCCCTGGAACACGACACTCGTCTCCCAAAGCACGTTCCCATTCCCGACCAAAGCACAGAACGAAACGGAGGAGGGGGGTGCCGTCCTGGCAGTAAAAAAAAATAACAAAGAAAAGCGACTACCTCTACATGTCCCTCCTAAGTCTGTGCCAGGACTTCTTGGACTGGTCAGCAGTTAAAGCAAACAAGAGTGGTCGGCAAAAACCAAGAAACACAAATACAACTTATGCGAACGCACTTGCAAAACAAGTTAATGGGGCTTCTCGTAAAAATCCTAAAGATAATATGGTATAAAAGCTAGCAAGAAAATATAGCCATGAGTAATGGAAAGAAAATACATCTGGCCATCAGAGAACAAGGTTAACTGTGCCACCTAGGCACAAATAGACGCGAGACGGGTGTTCACAAATCACTTACTAAAACAATAAAAAATAGACAAAGTGCTCAACAAAACACACACAAGAAAAAACTATACAGGACTACAACAGTCATTGTGCGCAGTGATAAACACATTAATGCAGTTGTGACAATATGTTCCTGCAGTCTCTTGTAGATCACACTCCTGCAACTAAAACACAGTTGCACAAAAACGCTACTGTCCTGTGATCTTACGGAAATGTCACAACAGCTCAGACACGCTGGTTCAGGTGGTCCACATGCTCACAGTAACTGGAGGTGGCCCCACCCGTCTGCTGCCTGGGGGACGCCGGCGTTTTATGCGCACCACCACCTTCCGGGTTTCCAGTGTGCAGAAAGGACCCCGCGAATTCGCCATATGTTAACCAGTCATGCCATCGTCATCATCCCCATCATGGGGGCCTAAAAATCAACCTTAGCCCATTGCCCTGAAACCTCTTAATCTGGCTCTGGCCACAGTGCTGGTATTCTGCCTCCTACTGAAGGCCAGTGCGGTGCACCGCTTGCATAAGAGTTTTGCGTCGATTTTTAGCTGGGACGTGAGGGTCTGAGTCCCACCCAAACAATGGCGCAGCACTCTTGTGCAATCTGCGGCCCCCACTGGCCACCGGTACGGGACAGGAAACTTGGCACTGTGACCTTGTTGTGTAGAAGCTGTTGGCTAGCCGGTCAAACCTTCCACTCGCGCCCTCTTCAGAGGTCTGCACCCTCCTGCTGCGTCGATTATTTGGGGTCGCCATATTTTGGGCGTGCAGTTTGAGCACGCACTGGACACTAGCGCCACATCAGCGTTTGGGTGCATGCTCAGGTCCAATTGTATTCGACACGATTTTTGCGTCACCTCTCGGTGCAAACTCTGACCCAATCACATGCTTTGTGCAGTAAGCAATGCCCAGAGGGCTTTTGAAAAGGGTTGTTGCCTTCGCCTTAATTGTCCTTATTCAGATTTTGCTTGCCACCTGTCGCAAGATGCGCCAACCTTGTTCGGTAGACTCAAGCATGCCGACCCATGATTGAGGCTATGAGCAGGGCACGGCTACGTTCTGAAAGTGATGCTGCACTAGTGCTGTGTCTCGCTGTGTAACCAACCGGGAAATAAGAAACCGCCCTAAGTAAATGCACAGATTGCGTTGCTTTCCTTTTCAATTGGAACAGTACCGTTTTACTGGCACTACCCGAGTGGTGAAGTGACAGAGCTTGTGGTGGTTGCTTTGACTGTGGGCTCTGCCAAATTCTCTAGATACTGTAAACGACTAAATTTTCGCAGGCACCTAATTTTCACGAAAAATACGTCCCACGAACAATTCGGGCAATACGTGAACGCTACGGAAGCTACACTCGATTTGCAAAAATTAGAACTCGGGAGTAATTTGAAATTTTCTGCTTTGACCCGATTCGCGAATATTTGAGCTCGCGAAAATTAAGTCGGTTACAGTATGCGGCGTTCCCCGCTACTTCATTAAGGGCTGGTTAAATGTGGTTCACACATTTGTGTCCGTTCCGTCCACAGCAACAAAAATGACAGCAACAACATAGACACCAAAACAACCGCAGCTCGCAATTGTTTTACGACGGTACTTCCGTAGCTTGTCACGTTGTGTGTGGCAAACAGTTTTCCCAGTGACTATGCCGTCTGTATTGAGACAGTCGCCCCCTGACTCCGGTGCAACTGTCTGATTCAGTAGTAAAGTAGTAAGCTGGGAGAGTAGGTAAACGTTGAACAGCATGAAAAATCACGCACGAAGAGACAAGGACAGACGAGGAAGGAAGACAGACAAGCACATCTATGTTGGACAGGCTATGTCAGACAGACTGGACGGTGTCTAAATGACTAGCTGCGAGAGCACAACCTTTCTTTAACATCAACTGTAGGAGGTCACCTTTTGGTGCATTGTAAGACCTGTACGTGCACACCACCTTCAGGAAAAACTTCAATAATTGGGGGCTTTAAAGAAAAACATGCATGAGGTGCTCGAGGCATTTATTATCTTGAGTCTGGCCAATCGCTGCGTTAGTCAGTCACCTGTTGCTTTGAGCAAAAAAGAAGTTGCCTTTTTGCAAAAATTTGACTGTGACTGAATTGTATTCCCCCTGGTGCCAGTGTCCCCGGTCATGAATTGTAAGTACGCGCCAGAGTTGTGAGTACGCGCCTGTCTGTGTTCTGTGTTCCTTCCTCGTTTGTCCTCATCTCTTTGTGCGCGATTTTTCATAATGTCTCAACCAGGCTCACTAATATAATTTATTTTGAAATGCCTAATGTCACCACAACATCATAGAAACGTTATCATAAAAACTATTGCATAGGATGCTAAGCAGGTAGAGCAGGGACTGCGAGGAAGCTTCGAAGGTGGTGCGGAAGCTCAATAGTGCTCGCGGCTTCCAAAAGGTGGCGCTAATAATGAGTAAGGCCTATTCGTAGTATAGCGAGACATATGGGCTGGACAGGTGTTTGAAAAAGGAACTCGCTGCAATGTCTTCCAGAGGACGAGTTGGTGGCAGGGCCAGCGGAAGTGCGCGAGCCCGTGCACGTGGCCGTGGTGACGTCTAACGCGAGGCTGGGAGGTGCCGTGGCGCTCATGGCGAGCGTGGCGCACAACACAGCGCGCCCCGTGTCGTTCCACCTGGTGACCGACAACGCGACTCAGTACCACGTGCACGCCTGGATGCACGACCCACGCCTGTCCGGTCTCAGCTACGAGGTGGTCACGTTCCCGCAGACGGCACTGGTCAGCCCCGACCTCGTCGGACTTCTCCAGGTGAGCCGTGGTCCAGTGGGCACTTGGCCATTTTCTGGACTTTTGTCCATGGATTATACACGTTTTAAGGTTGAAGTTTTATGTGGTGCGGACTGTGCAAAGATTTTTTTTTCTGGATCAATCGTTACGAGATGTGACGGATTTTGAAAATGACAGAATATTTTGATGATTTCTGTATGATACAAGCTGTTTTGTGAGCTAGTAAAGCAGGCATCTTTTTTAAAGCTTGCTGTGTACAAGAATTTTTACATTGGGGTCTAAGCATCAGGTGCAAACGATCTAAGAGTTAACTTTTTTTTTTCGTCTAAAATTTGTTTTTGCGGACAATACACAGGACTGTAGTCCGGAGAATATGGTAATTAGAAATGAAAGCAGCACTTGGAGACAGTGCAAAAGAGCAAAGCAAGCTAGACGTTGGGTTCTTGTGCGGAGAGAGGGCAACCCTTTTGGATGATGGCGACAGTGGTTTAGGCTGTAGATGAGCAATCTAGTCAGTGTAGTACGACTGGCAGTCTGAAGTATTTAGCACGCAGTTCGCCGGCACAAAGACTGCTTCATCAACCGCACTCCAGAACGTTTTGGCCTCCGGTTTCTGAAATGCATTTTGACGGAAGCGGCTTGAAGCTGGCTGTAGGTCTCCCGTCTCAGCGGACTATTCCCATCTGTGGTGATCCGTCATGGAGAACTCCAAGCAAAGTGTGTAGGACCCAGCGACTGTCAGACATTCTGACTTGCGCAGCAGTGATGTGATTGCTGCGCCAATTGCGCCAAACTGCGCCAAGGGGCTAACCCTGCTACATCCTGCTACATTTTGCCATAATATGGGTAATCTGCACTAAGCCTGCGCCAAAGGATAAATTTTGGTCGCCTTTGAAAACCGAAGCTGAACTGAGTACCGTAATTGCGCACACATGAGCTATGTGGTGCAAGCAGCCGTCCGACACAAAGTACTGTACCCTGCATCAATCGTTCATCCGGCCTTACATGGTCTTTCCCGCCGTGTCTCGTCTCGCGTCTTTTTGAAGAAAAAAATTCAACGATAGACGTGGGCGTGTGCGGACGCCCCGACGCTAGCGTGCTGGGTACCAGCCATGCCGTCATGCTGTGAAACGAAACCATGTTTTTGCGCGGCGGGGGTTACTTTATCGGTGGCAATCAGTTTGTCGAATGATGTTTCATGGACAAATCGTTCCGTCGACACTGCGATGTTTCATCGACAGATCATTTCGTGGAAACGAGCACCCGCTCGTTTCATCGACAGATGTTGCGACGCTTCGTCGACAGCTCGCTCTGCCAGCTCGTGGTAGTATAGAGATCATACATATTAACTCTAGAGGAAAGGTCCGCCATTTTTCCATGCATTCTGGCTGCCGCACGCGGCGGAGTATGCAGGCTGCAAGCAGACCCTCGGGGTCTCACATGGTTACCAACTGCCTTCGATTTCACAAATATATCATCAGAGCAGTTTCATGAACTTCAACAATCCACGAACTTACCGGTGGAAAGATATTCGCGTTCCTTTCGAAGCTTTCTTTGTGCTTAGCATGCAGATGTATGGCCTCCTTTCAACACTAAACTAAACCAGATTACCGTCCTCGGTTATCTGGTTTAGGGTTTAGTTTCGTTTTTCCGGGCGCGGGTGGCCGCACCCGGAAATACGAAACGGCGCAACTACCAGATTTTCGAGATTTCGACAGAAGGGAAGTTAATGCAGCGTAATGAGTATGTTGCTTTTTATAAATCTTAGAATAGCTCAGAATTTAGTTTGCAAGGTTAAATTATCACTGTTTATATTGCTGAGAGTTTTCAGTCTTCGCGATTACCATTGCGACTGTCGTCCTTCAGCTGGCAACATTGGTTTCTTTCTCTCGTGTTTTGTCGCTCTTTCGCGATCTTTCACTCGGGACCCAGGATGTCGGCGCGCGGGATTTGTTACTCCTCCTCACCCACCTTTACCCCCCTGCCTGGTAGGGAGCCTCCCTAGCTCCTGGCTCCGCCGGCTGCGCGTCCTCGCGACCTCTGCGCCTGCGCGGCGCGCGGCCTTGTGTTGGATGGATGGATGGATGAAAGATGGCCGACTGGGCCAAGTATGGCGAACCAGTGCGCAGCCATCTTGCCTCACCACCTCACCAACTTAAACTATCGCAATTTTTTTTTGCTTATTCTTTTTTTTTGGGGGGGGGGGGGGGGGGGGGGGGGGGGCTCGCCGATTGCACTGATTTCGGAACTTACGATTTGAATGGTTTCGCTCGTGTCTTTGCCCCAACCTTTGGGGAAGCGTTGTCAAAGCCGGAAAGTTTTGTTATCGACCAGTGTCCTTTCTCAAATTAGATTTTTAAGACATTCAACAATATGCGCTGCTCTTGAGGGCTACGCTTTCGGAAGCATACGTGATCGAGGTGTCGGCACGTCATCGAATGCAACCCTTCGCGGGCTGGCCGCCGGCACTCCGACTGTTTCGAAAAAGTGGCTGGGTCATTTCCAGAGCAAGCGTATCTTTCCGTGCGTCGCGTCTTTTGGCAGAATCCCCAAGAGCCACCTGAACATAGCATAGATAGTCCACACGTCAAAACACTGAAGCTCTTAAAGAAAATTTGAAAGAATAAACGAGGCCGGTTTGCGGTGCACACAGCCTTCCTACCGTTGAAAATGGCATAAAATCGGTTTTCATCATGGCATCTGGTCTTAGCCGCTAGCAATAAACTTTGAAGGAGACTGAGCATTTTCCTACGCGTGGTTTACTTTTACGGTGATAAAACTCAGTTGTTTTCTACTCCAAACACTGGGTATTCAACGTACTGTACTTACCAGGCCGCATACGATTTTTAGTCTTTAGCATATTTAGCTTCTGGAGAATGAATAACGCAATAGTTCTGCATATGTTATGCCTGTAGTGAAATTTTGCATGCCGATAAACCAATATGTGACCAAAGAACATTAGATTTGGAAGCCGCTCTTTTGTAAAAAAGAGCTACGAACTTGCCCCAGGTATCTGTCTGCTGGCATCGATAAAAGAAGAATTGAATGTCGCGTGTGAGGACCAGTCCGCTGCTGCCGACAGATTTCGTCTAGTGGTACTACCGCCTCCAAGGCCTTGCATGTGGCGGCTGCACGAGAGAAGCTATATAATGCATTAAGATGCACATTCGATATCAACTATGGTTTACCTTGTGTAATACGACTAAACTTGGTGTACTGTTTTATTTATCTGTTACCAATTCTCGTGTTTATTTATATATTTATTTAATTTTTGCATTGCAATGTAGTTTTTTTTTTTTTTTTTTAGGTTTACTTGCGGGTAGCGTGCTCCCGGTCGAGTGTTATTGGTTTTCGTGCTTTTGTTATTTATTTTTATTTGACATTTTTTACAGCCCCCTTATTGTGTAATGTCCTTTTTAATCGGCCCTTAAGGATAAATGACGATGAAACATGTGTGACTAAACAGTTTTTTCGCGTATAAGTCGCAGTAGCCAGAAAAACACTGCATCACTTTTCCTTTTGAATAATTGAGGGTAATGAACATGCTTAATTTCAATTGAAATATTAGGGTCGTAATGTTGCAATAAAAGGCTGCAAGTTGTATTTTTGTTTAAAAATAACCATCATGAAGGAAAAAAACAGTGTTTACGCCCTTTTCCGCAACCCACCATTGGATCGAAGTTTTGCTTTGTGCCTACGCATATTTTTCTCCACCGCTTTTCTTCTTCCAGTAACTTTCGGTTCTATAAACGGGCATCGGAACTTGCAAATATCCGAATAGGCCGCGCGCGAAGTCCTGCGCGCTCTTGCTTTTCCATCTGACACGGATGAGAGCGAGAGGATAGCGCAGTTGCTCACCTTGGAGAGCAACTGCGCTAGGCATCGTCTTTTTCATGTGTTACAAGCGCATGTACCTTAAAGGGGCCCTGCAATCATATTTAAGCATCTACCTTTTTTGCGGTTTCCACGTCTCTTGGGGTTCGGGCAAGCCAGCGGGCACGGAGAGAGTAACTAAATATCAGTGCGTCATATTTTAACCGGACGACGCGGAAACCTCCTCCACCGACGAGGGCGACCCACGGTACCGAAAGCGCGCAAAATGTGACGTCTTTGGTCCTGGGCTTGCCACTGGTCAAAGCCGCTAAGAGCTTTTTTTTGGTCGAGATACAAAATAAAGGTGTCGTGAACCGTTTCAATTATGTATGAAAGTAGTTTTTGTTCACTATTTTAGATCAGAAAAGAAACAAATGCAGTTTAGAAAGTACGGAAACGAGAAATGACCCGTCGACATACCCGCCACCAAGCGGCGGAGAAAAACGGCGCATACTAGAAAAGGCTAGTGGGATGAGGCTACGTCGAACGAGGAGCGTAGAAAGGTCCCGGATGTACGCGGCGGCGCTGTGGTCGTATACCGGCTCAAGAATCCGACCGGTTCCGAGCGTTCCGAAGGCCTTCGGCGCGGGCCCTGCTGGCAATTTGGCCATTTGGCGGTGCGTCAGCTCGAAGTGGCTCCCGTTCTGAACTGATCTTTACCCCGTGTTTGCTGTCGTTTGTGGCCAATGAAGTGTTATGCCGAATTAGTGATTAGTCGCGCAGCAAATGCAATGCGAGCTGCCCTGGCCGCCCGCTTCATACAGCGTACCCAACACGTGCTTTAGTGGCGCCCTCTCGAGCCGTCGACACGGAGTGCGGCAGCCGTGTGCGCTCGATGAGCTCACTCAGCTCACTACTCCTCCTCTAGTTCAAGGCCACTCAAGCCAGGACCTACAACGTCATGAAGGAGGTTATTTTTTGCTTGTTTTTGTAATTCTAATTTGCCTATAACTTTTAAAATAAAGCGAAATTTGAGAAAAGAAAAGTTGGATTAAGTTACTACGTTCAGTACGCTCAGGTTCAGTGCAAATTAAAAACCAGTCAAAAAGTCATTGCAGGGCCCCTTTAAGCTTCCAACATTCCTTTCGAAATCGCAAAAAAAAAAAAAAAAAAAGTTTGTCGACGAAACGTTTTACGGTGGTGCTGTCGACGAAACGTGTGTCCATGAAACGTGTGTCCACGAAAATTTGTCCACGAAACGTAATTCCACGAAACGAGTTTCGACGAAATGATAGGGACCCTTACTTTATGGGCTGAAGCACTCGTTCCTAAAAGCAACGGCCGTGGACAAACTATATTTGGTCCCTGCCTGCCAGTCACCATGGTCGCGCGACGTCGGATGTTGCCGTCCCCACGTTACTGCAGTTATGGCACTTTCTAAACTGAAACGTAAGGACTGCCGCATGTTCATCAATAATCATGTTCTTGTTTAATACGCTACTACAAACATCCCTTTAGCTCAAAGACTGTTGTGTCGAAGTATTGATTACCTAGGTTTCTCTCGGTATTTCTTTAGAGACGTACCCTGGTACGTGAAACAAACCAGCCGCGAAAGAAAGTTAGTGAAGAGAAGTGAGCTAAAGCAAAGAAGGCTATGTCCGCATGCTGAACCCGCACAACGTGCTTATTTATCTCCAATTCAGTCGTTGAACAAAGCGCTCCAAGAATTTTTTGACCTTGGCTCGCGATGTCTTCCACGATGCGCTCAGGTTTTTTTTTGTTTTTTTTCTTCTGTGTTTAGCTTGTACCTCGCCTGCCGGCCTGGCAGGCCCGTGCCGCTGGACTGTTTTTTTTTTTTTTTTGTCGTATGTTGGGCAGTTACATTTTGCAAACAATTTTGGGAATTAGTTGGAGACGGAGCGGAGTGGCATGGTTTCAATCGAACAGGCCATCTCCGCTCGCGCGACAATTTCGCAATGCACGGCAGTAGTTACGTGTTTCATCAGTGGGAGACTGCTTCCATTTATTATATTACCAGTCAACCTAATGATGTGATATTTACTACTAAGCTGGTCATTTTCAAATAAATTTTAATATGTGCAGTTTGGTCCAATATATTTGTATTATTTAACTGAAGCATTGCAAAATGTGTCATGTCATTGGCATTTCAGTTACATGTTGAAAGACTCCCAGGTGGTCTTGACCACCTGGGAATCTTTCAAGATAGACCACCAGGTGGTCTATCTTGACAATAATTGGTTGATTGCGGCGAGCAACGTGTCCTTCGTTTGTCCACCACTTGAAATTAATATCTTTTTTGTTTTTTCTTCTAAGAATATCTGCTCCAAAAGCCACTTTCGCTGCTCCGAACCACTGTTTTAGCCGCTCCAAAATTCAGTTTTGCTGCTCCAAAACTCTGTTTTGGCTGCTCCAGAACGTGCTCCAAAACGGCTTAGGCCAGTCACATCACTGGCGCAGTGTTCCTGCAGCATTCAGACCCTCTGAGCCTGAGATGGCCTCCTCAGTGTTATGGTGGCTGTCTCTGAAAGGGGGTGAAGTTTCACAACTGGTTTCAGTTGTGAAACAGCAGTTGGAGCACACAAGCCACGGCCGAAGTGCATGAAATTCCCTGGAGTGTCACGGGTGCAGGCCGGCCGCAGATGATCAGATGACTATCCGGCAGGGTTGGGCAGTATCACGAATAAAAATGTATCGCGATAGCATTTTAGAAATACATTATGTATTTATATTTCTTGAAAGTAAACATTAGAGAGAAGTCTGTCTGGTTGGGGGAAATAATTAATAAAATAAGACGACCAACCAATCCCTAAATCGGGGGCACAACGCTTCGAAGCCTGTTCGGCTTCTTTTTCAGGGGGCCTCTGAAGAAGAAGCTGAACAGGCTTTCAAAACGTTGGGCCCCTGATTGAGGGATTGGTTGGTCCTCTTATTTTAATAATTTATATTTCTATGTCGCAATATGTACAATTTTTCAACTGTACTTTGTATTCCTGTATTAAAATACATTTTTGGTGTATTCCTGGCATTGCGATACTATTAAGGCCAATGTATTTCATTATTTTAAAGGAATTGTTGACCTCCACACAGAGGGCTGAGACAGAGCTTCTTCCGGGACGTTTTGTGCCTCTGGCCGTACATTACTCACTTTATTGTACAAAAATTACCAAATGCTTTTCTGAACTTTAGATAGTCAAACATTCCTGTAGATTCGAAAAGTTGAAGGCTCTGTTAGCGTGCCCAAGTAATAGATAAAGGATATGGGTTTCTTGAACTTCATTCCACGGTGACATTGTAAGGTCGCTGCTGAAAGAGGCGCCCAGATCGGACATAATCATAGTTCCTTCTCGAGGTTATTTGGGAAAACACGAAACGGATTTAGAGATTCCTGGAATTTTGCTTCAGAAAGATGTCAAAATAAAACCGTGCTCCAGCCATGGTGAAAATATCATTCGCTTTACTTACGACTTTCAAAAAATGCAACCCGTTAACTTTGCGGTAAATTTGACTCGAGCCATAAAACGTAAATGTCAAAATTCAGGCTCCATCTTGCAGCAAATACTCGTTTGCTGGTATAGAAATAAAACATTGTATTTAAGATCATGTTTCTTTTTTGTTCTTCGTATTCACCATCACCAAGGGATGCACCACAACATCTGCAATAATGTTTTAGGGGCGAAGCTCCTTACGGTCTAGCCTTGTCCGTCCGGCGTCAGTACTCATATCGATCTTGCTGGTGCTCGTGAGCTCACGTGCTCGTGTAGGGAAGGAAAAAAAATTATGAAAAAAAAATGTTTGTGAAATCAACAGGAGCCGAACCTGTGCAGAGACACCCAGTGGATTTCTAGTCCATCGCCTTAACCACTCGGCCACAACTGCGGGACAAGTAGGGGGCTTTGAGATGTGGTAGTAACTCGAGCTGGGGATATCATGGATGAAATGTTGCATGTAGCCACTCAACATCTATACAGGAGAGGGTGCTGCGGTCAAATGCGTATATAATCGCGTTAAACTTTGCATGCATTGGCTCAACGTTTATAGACGAGAGGGCTCTGCGGTCAAATGCTCAAATGCGTATATAACCACGTTCCATACCACACATTCTCTTTCTGACATGGATGAAAACAAACAAAAGGCTCGGCATGCTGCGGCTCAGCGTCTATGCAGGCAAGCACCACCAGAGCTTTGCCCCAATCAACATCATTCACTACGTGGAGATGCGGTCATTTTTTTTTGTTTTTTTCTTATAACAATATGTTTTAGTGCTTTTATTTCTGCCCCACCAAAATTTGTTCCTGTATTTGTATTTCCAAACACTATTTTTCAAATGTATTTCTGATGCTTATTATGATACGTTTTTATAAATGTATTTCAGTTGCAGTATTTTAGCTGTTTTTGCCATGTATACCAGTATTTGTTTTTCCAAATACTTTTGAGAATATTTCTGCCCAAACCTGCGATCTGGCTGTGGAGTCCTTTGTCTTGTGTATGCTGCGAGTGTTATAGAAGCAGTTGGCTGGTTGAGGGATATGAATTCCTTTGAGGGCCATCTGCCACTGAATGAGTGTCCATCATGTGCCCAATACATGCTTTTAATTCCTTTTTACTGGGGTTAAGTAGGAACTTTGCTTGTGTAGTCCTAGCTCAGAATGAAGAATGTCTTTTTCTTTTTTTTCCTTGTGTCCCTCTGCAGCTGCCCTTTGCAAAGCTCTACCTGGCTCGTCTCCTGCCGTCCGTGGCGGGAACTCTGGTGGTGCTTGATGATGACGTCATTGTGCAAGGTCAGTGTGCACCATTCCACGGTGCTCGGTCCACCGTGTGCCCGCACAACAGTAAATGCTGTTTGGCGAAGCGCAAAACTTGAATTTACAGAAAACAGCCTGTCGAGACATCTTGGGAAATTTGTCCCGGTTGCAGCTGCATGCTGTCTGGGGTGGCCTTTACAGATTTGCTTGTGACTGTCCCTGCTCCCGTGTGTGCGCTGCACGATGCAGTTAGCACAATCATGACACAAGCTTTCTTGCACATAGCTCAAACCAACGTTACTAGAGCACTGAGTTGGGAAACTCACCGTTGAAGCCTGGGCCGCTGGCGTCCACCGAGACCAAGCTAAATACGACAACAGCGCCACTCTTAATCTTTTTCTTTACTGTGGTCACACTGAGCTCTCAGAAAGCATGTTTTTGCGTAAAAACAAACGGAAAGAACTCTTTTTGTAGGAACTTTATTTGGAGATTAGTACAAAATAGCAGGCGCACAATGTTTTCTAAAATCTTTAGTTTACAAGGTTTTGTGGCACATTTAATATTGTTTTGATACAATCATGTCTCACCGGTGATTTAAGGTAGCACGTCCCGACCCTGGGCAAGTCCTAATTTTGGAAAGAAATTCGCAGCGCGTCTGCTTGGGAGACGGGGGTTGGCATCCCAGAAACTCCTTCCACCGTATATGTTTCGGCGCCAAAATGGCCGATTAAGCCAAAATAGAACAGTCACAGGGGACGCTATCGAATGCGATACTCCCGAACCAACACAAGCAGCCGTGCAGTTCCCCGAGTGGCTGCAGCGGGAAAAATTGCGGCGTTGCGATCGCGATTAGCTCGGTTCTTAAGTACGGATCGGTGCCACTTTTTCAGAGCAGGCTTTATAGCAGTTTCCCAACTGAGTGGTTCTAGTAACGTTGGCTCAGACTGAGGAGCTACGAATGCCAGATTTTTGCCTTAGACAAGCACATTCCACTACAATAGTAGCTTTGGTGAAAGCATTTCAGTTATAGAAGAAAATGAGAGAAATGCTGCAATGCCTTTTTTGTGTAAACTGTGTTGCACTCTCTATGCAGCTCCTCAATATTGATAATACAGTGCAACTCATTAAAAACCGGACCTCCTATAAGAAGTTACTTTGGTAACAAACACTTCTATTTAGACAACATGTTTTATTGGGCCTCAAGGTTTTCAGTACATAGACATAACCTTGGTTAACCATTTAACTGGGGAGTGTGTCTTGAAATAGGGTGTGTGTCTGAAGACACACTACACTTTATTCGAATGCAGGGAGTGCACCCTTTAATGTGCATGAATTTAAGCGGAGGGTTTAGGTGCTGTCATCTATGAAATGCAACAACAGATATGTTTAGCTGAATTTGTGGTACCTAGGTGGCAACAGATTTGAATTTTCTTTGGCAGGAAAATCTCAGTTCTGATTCTGGACCACATGATGGTCGGAAATGGTTCAAAGCATTGACAGGTGCAGAGATTGCAACTGAACCATGTATTCATTATGCTATTGCACAATGAATACATGATCAGTTACAGTGACATTCGGTCACTTGACAACAGTAAGGACAAAGGGGACGTTGAGGATGCGGTGATGTCAAGCATATCAGTATCGTGCGTATTGCTGTGCAAGACACTGGAGTTTGGAGGGCTTGCTTCCCGACTTACCATGCAGAAAGGAAGGTGTGAAAATGAACACCTCGCAATGTGTTACTGTAGTCAACTTAATTTTTCAAGGACCTAATTTAGAGAATTTCGCACCTTTGAAAGTATCGTGAAAAATCAATCATGTGAATGTATCAGCCCGTGGTAACAAACACAGCATATCACACTGAGTCACAAATGTTTTGCTGCCAAAATATTCCCGACTGTGCACTTAAACAAATTTGTAAGTTATTGAGTCCACGAAAATAAAGTGGTTAATAGTATCTCAGAATATAAGTTTCAAAGTTTTGATGCATGAACAATCTTCAAGATTTTGCGTTCAAAAACCTTCCAAAAAAACAAGTTAAAGGGTTAACTGGACACAGGGTTGTTTTTATGTTCATGCGAGTCTTCTTTATGACCTTGCCCAAGGAAGCTCGCGGTGTTCAGGGGGGGGTGAGCAGGCACTAGAAAAGTTCTAATGCCAGCATGTGTGCACTAACTCCCATATGCATGAAAACCGGTAAGGAATTTGGCTGGTGTAGGAGTAGCATAGTGACCTGCAACACCATTGCATGATAACGTTGCTCTGCTTCTTTTTACTTATTTGAATTTTATTGTAGGGTGTGTTAAGGCTGCAGTGGTTGCTAATTTTTTTGTTTAATTATGAATGCTGTTCACCCTTAACAGGGGAGTGTGACAGGTATGGGGTAGAAGTTCTTTTGTAATATACAAGTTCATATAAACTGTACAATTGAAAGCAAAAGAGAACCAAAACAATACTGCCCATTAGGCCGACAATAAGTGTGTTAAATCAATATGAAGAAAACTATAATTAAAACACTTTAGTCTTCGATAGTACAGTAGAACCTGATTGATACGTTCTCAGTTTTTACGTTTTCCTGGTTTTGACGTTCAAAACCGCCGGTACCGCCGAGCTCCCATAGGAATACCTATATATTAAATTCCTGCTTATTACATTTGCCTTCCCGGTTCTTGTGTCCAAGACCACTGATGCGCGCCTGGTGGTCTTTGAACCGTACAACGTCTGCACCACGGAGTTGTAAGCGCCGTTGAGGAGAACAGCACGGAGGAGCGTTAACGTATGTCAACGTACCGCCAGCCGTATGTGCCCATAGCTTCCACTATGGTAGGGCAGAACAAAACTAGTTAAAATGCAGCAAACATATTTTTTTGTCTATAATTTAATTCATTTGAACCCCTTAGTGTTTTCAGGCGTAATTTGCAAGTCTGTTTCACGTCTTACAACACAGTGAGTACAGGGGGGACTCGCTTGTCAAACAAAAATTTTTGATGTCAGTCTTCCACATTTTTCGAATCGCCATATCCCAGATGAGTGCGCGTCCCTCATGGAAAGAAAAAATGTTCCTTGGGCAGAATGATTTCGAAAAAAAGCACGCCAGCAGTGAGCGCGTTAAAATAAATACTTCCTTTCCTCTTTGCTGACTCCGCGCACGCCTGCCCACGCAGCACTGCTACCGCCTCACCCACCGTTATGCGCTTTCCAAAGCTGTTTTTTTTTTTTTTGTAGGATTGACCAGTTGAATGAAGTAACTGTCATTCTTTTGCTTCTGACCCTCGCTTGCCCAAGACCCTTTGCTGCTCTCCGGCTCTGCGCAAAACATGAGCCTAGGGCCTTGGACGTTTCGAACCACCATCCATTTCTCCATCTTTCACCGTGTGCAGTGCTCGTGCACTTTCACCCTGTGTGCCACATTTGCATTGGTCGATGCTTTTGGTTGTGGTCTCTGGTCTCGCTCCTCGGCTCCTCCAGTTTCGTTTTGTGTGAGTTTGCTTCCGTTAGTAGCCATGGTGTCCCAGAAAAAAAATGCGCGAGTTTCCAGGGGAAGCTGGACATTCTCCGAACACGCGCAGGAAATGGAGGATGCGATGAAGAAAGTCGGAGCCCCTTTGCGTGCTCGGAATGCCTGTCGGTTGCCGAGAATGTTGTCACCTTTGAACCGCTGAGCATATCAGACATCGTCAAGGAGCTCACCGTGATCGACGATGCTGAGAGTGCTGAGGACGTCGAGGACGCAGTCACCGGTTACGTAACACCCACACTCGTGGACGCGATCATGGCACTGCGTACCTTGTGCAGGTACGCGAGTGTCTATGGCTGCGCGGACGGTAAGAAAGGGTTGCGACAGCTCGAAAAGGCACTCTTATTGTCAAGCAGTCGCTCGAAGCACCAGGCAGAGATTGCAAGCTTTCTTTAAACCTATTTCAGTTCACACACACTCACAATAATTTGCATGAAATCGAATTGTATTATGATAGTTGCTTTCCATTTCATCCCTAGCCTCCCCCCTCTCCCCATTTCTTGTTTTTTATGTTTCCTGGATTATACTTTCTTTTCCGCAGTCTCCCGTAAAACATATCGATGAGGTTCTACTGTACAAGAAATAGATCCAAACAGTCAACACTGGTTTATCTTTTGACAAGAACGTAAAGAAAAAATGACATCTAACAGGCTATAGGTATATAGGGTTCGGAGTTTTCGGATTAAACCGATAAAAGTATGCCGAATCCATTTTCGAAAATTCGGTTTTAACCGAAAAAGGTCAGTTTGTAGGTTCGACTTTTTCGGTTTACACCGATAAAAGTATGTCTAGTCCGTTTTCTAAAATTCGGTTTTAACAGGAAAAGGTTAGTTATTTCAGGGCCGCGTCGAGGTGGGTGGGAGGAGGTTGGAAGGGGAGAGAGGGCTTTGCAAGGTTCGACATTGTCTGACGTCTTCGTGATTGCCCTCTTCCAAGGTTCAGCATGCAACAAAAGAGGTCTTCGATTGGCCTTTGTGGGACATCTGTGTCCTTTCTGTGATCGGGCTTAGTGTGTCAAGTTCCTGGTCCTAAAAAAGAAGTTCGGGTGTCATGCACTTCAGAGGACATATAGACCGACATGCTGTTTACAAACAAGCCCGCCTTTGCCCACACGAGGTGTGGGCACTGCGCGTGCGCAGAAACCGAATTTGGGAGGAGTGAAGCGTCTGCGCATGCGCTGTGCCGCGGACAGCGCCACCGCAGCTGCGTGACGTCAGGGCCGCGTGTTGGTCTATACAGAAAAACTATTAATACCTTTCTTAACACCCCCTCTCAAATTTCCTTGTAATTAAAAACATAAATACAATGGATTTTTTTTTTCTTTGCCATTCCACTGGTTTTTGCACGGTCATCACTTCGAACGGTCACGTCTTCAGAATGGGAAGGAAAAGGAAGCGCGCTGAAGATTATGCCTGTGAATTCCGCGATTTTGAGGTGTGTTCTGACAGAAGTTATAGCGAAGACCACGTATGTACATGTGTCGTTATTCTTTGAGTGATCACAAATATCACAGCTACAAGGATCATCTGATCCGGTGTCCGATGGTGTTTCTTTCATATTCCTTGAAAAAAAAAACGGTAAACTTTTTTTTAAATATAAATGTACACCGAAAAAAAAAAAAATTGAATTTTAAAATAAACACCGAAAAAAGTACGCCGAATTTTGAAAAAATAAAAAACGAAAACGCGGAACCCTAGCTATATTGTATAAACCTGAAATAACATATGAAAATTCCCGTGGACAGTTGATCGACACAGTATTCTGGGTAGGTTATTCCAGTCGCGTATAGTTCTAGGAAGCAAAAAATTACGGTTTTCTCTTTGTCTGTGCGAGTATTTCGTACCTCCTGTTTGGACGTCTGGAGGCTCACCCCGCTGCACGTCCCTCACAGGCGACGTTGCCGAGCTGGCCGCACTGCCCCTGCCCAAGGGTGCTGTGGGGCTCTTCTCCCGGGACTGCGACACCTTCTCCCGGAGGTACAACACTGCCGGGGTGAGGGACGCCCTCCCTGCTGCTTGCTCGCAAAGCCTCCCGTGACGCACGCATGCGTGCCCGGGGTATTACGGAAACGCGACCCATGAGGCCCCGGCTAGAGCCGCTAAATGAGCTACGCTTCAGATTTACGACCGAGGAGCACCAAGGAGGTGACTTCTGGAGTGGCGGTCTCCCGCACTCTCCCATGCGACCGGGTGAAGCCAGTTTTGCCGGTCGGTGGCCATCTTACTAAAGGTGAAACAAAACGGCGCTCGAAGCGGCAGTAGCAGTGCACCGTTGCTTTTGGGGCTGGTTATTAAAAGAAAAACAAAACAGATTTTTTTGTTTGTTTGTTTAAACAAGGTAGAAAGCCAATCCGCTTTCTACCTTTAGTAAGACGGCAGCGGTCGCCGTTTTTGGCGTCAGCTCCGCAGCGCCACCGCCACTCCAGAAGTCCTAAATATAACCTCCTTGGTTACGACGCTTTGGCCATGTTAGTGCTTAAAGTGACCGTTGCCAGTCAAAGGCGTTATAACTATTCGAGTGATGGGAGACAACGGTGGTGGTAGGGAGGAAAAGATGTGAGGAAGAAAAATGAACCATTCAATTCATGTATATCTTTTTTTCGTCTATCCTCTCTTTTAGTTTTAACTTTATCAAGTGCATTTTTCTTGCATCTATGCAGTGAAGCAAACCATCACAATGTCTAACCAATTAGCCCAAATCCAAGCATTATAAGAACAATCTCACTTGTCGCCTCACTACCATTACCATTGCCCCCCCCATCTTATCACTCGAATAGTTCCAACACTTTGACTGGCCACCATGATTTTAGCTGGTAACAGTGGTGTCAGAAAAAAAAAGAAAGGGAAGTCGGGAAATTCTGGTTGAAATTGCTTGAGTCTTGAGTATGGTAACAGAATCCCTTGATCTGTAGCTGTTATAAATAAATCAAACTGCTTTATCTTTAATTCTTTCAAGACTAGATACTTTGACAGGTAAATAAAATGGCTCCCAAACAGGGCTGGCATACTCGGTGGTTGGTTAGATCAAAAATTTAAAAGCTGCTGAACTACTTTCGCCAAAGTTTGGCGGGAAAAACCGGAATTGGGGGTTATAATTGTACACCAATTCAATTCCTCCGCTATATTTAGTGGGGAAGCCGTCTCCATATAAATGGAGTGGGAAAGCCTTCCCACACTCTTCCGTTATACACTTCTATCTAACACTGTCGTTACACTTTTTCGAGACATTTTTTTTTGAAGGCTATGCACATTTTGTGTAATAATAAAAATCTCGGCCAGAACCCGGCATTCCACATGGCGGGCTTGTATGGTCTTGCCTGCTCCAGCCCGCATTGACGCCAGAAAAGTATGGGGCAGCGCACTTCCGCTCTGCGTTCCAAAACATGCTGCGCTCTTAAATCGAACGCTGTGGCACCACACCTAGCGCGGCCAGTGCGGGACGTGTGGAGCGATCGAACATAGCAGGCGTTGCATCCCCGTGCCGCTCATCGGGCTCCTCCGAAGCGCAGAGCCGGTACGAGCAGTACGTGGAGGCCAGGCGTCCGTCCCTCCAAGCCCTGGGCATCTCGGCCACTGATTGCGTCCTCAACCTGGGGGTGTTCGTGGTAGACCTTGCTGAGTGGAGCCGCCTCAACGTCACCGAAAGCGCCGAGGCCTGGATGCGTCTGAACATCAAGTGAGTGCCAACCTCCTCGACCCGGTGTAAAATAAATTCTTGGTTCCTAGTGAACTGTGGCGTCGGCCTAGACGCCGGACGCCGCCGCCTGCGGTTACGCCGCAGCGTTTAGACTCGGCGGACTTGCGTTCCAGCGGATTCGGCAGGCTGCATTCGTGCTCCACTGCGACGTCGCACGGCTTCGTGACATTGAGTGTCGCTAAAATTGCCGCCAAGTTTTCCCGGCAAATTTTTCCGTTAAATTTAGAGGAGGGACTTTTTGGCGTAAGTTAACTTAGTTTTTCCGCTACATTTAGCGGAAAAATTGTGGTGAAACATTACACGACGTCACGTGACGCCGCAATGTCGGGATGCTGCAACTCCCACCTAGATTTGGCAGAGAAGTTTTCCCGCCAAAATCGGCGTGCCACGACATACGTACACAAGAGGCACGGGGTCTGCCGTGGAGTTGCCCATAACGTTTCGACTCAAAAGCGGCGCGCGTTTTGCAGCTGACGACAGTCGCAGAAACAAAAACAGGTGCGGTAACAACAAGAAACTACAAAGCAGATGACATAAGTACCACGAAAAAGCTGTCAAAATAACCCGACAAACCATTTTTTTAATTGATTATGTGTCCATTCAATGTGTTTTATTAGTAAGGATGCTAAAATAATGCATTGGCAACTGATATCAGAAAAGCTCGCGCTGCTTTTCAGCCCCCTAGACATTTAAAAAGTTTCATGTAAACAATACAGAAAAGGGAAACAAAAATCTCGCTCGACCCCCTCCACCACCACTGTCTATAACCCCCCCCCCCCCCCCCCCCTTCCCGAATAGTTCCAACACCTCTGTATTACCCCCAGCTCTTTGATACCTAGTGTTAGAAGTTTGTGGTGTTTGGTGTGTACCGTTTACCCGCAAAAAGGACGCACAAGGCAGAGAAAAAGAACACTCCTTTATTCCAGCGGCGTAGCTGTCACCAGGGATATGGAAACTTCAGTTCCACCTAACATACATTTCGACCCCCATTACCCCAAGTCATAAACATCCCAAAAAACTCAGCCCCCACCTCCTTAACCCTTTTTTGACGAGTGTTGCCTACAGGAAACAAACAACATATTTTTTTTTATCTACTAGTCTGGCAACAGTCTTTAAAGGGGTACTGAACCGAAATTTGGATTTCGCAAAGTAAGGCTGCAGAAGTGTTGAACCGGACGCTTCGAACTCCAAAACATCACTCCTACATCGATATCTCAAACGGATGGCCTTACTTTTGGAAAAGAAGGGCGCGATCAAGCGAGTTCTTTGACGTAACTGTCCTCCGGGAGAATTTGAGAATGAGGAGAAGCGGCCTCGCTTCTCTCCTCCTCGCTTCGGTTCACCAGCTTGACGGGACGTAGGGAAGAGGAGAAAGAATGGGAATCGTGACGTGCCTTGTCTCGTCGGCCTCGTCGGCCGGGTTTAATCGCCCACATCTTTTCCAAAAAAATATGGTGGTCCGTTAGATATACACTCCGTGCGGGAACTATAGGGGGCGCTTTGAAAAATGCGCGCAGTGCCGCTAGCGGAGGGGCTGGCGTTCGACAGTGAGGCGCGTTCAGCAGCCTGCGGCGCCTTTTCGCATGCCAAGCTGTGGCGGCGGAAGCGCGCACGGACGAAACTTTTGCTTTTTGAGCCGATACGTTGAGGGTGACGTTGCATGAGTGCTGGGGCAGAAGGGCATTTAGCTGTTCTCCACTTCTTATACATTGAGTTCGAGTCGTTATTAGGGGTAATTTCTCTAGTTGTGGCCGAAAAAGGAGTTGGAGCAATTTTCCGAAAAACAAGACGGCCGCCACAATAATTGTTCTGAGTGAGAAATTTATTTCGCTCGTCGCTTTAAACGTAGGACTGCTGAAACGATGACATTTGGAGGCGGGTGAGATGTTTACTAAGTTTGTGCACGAGGTGTGCCAAGTTTCATTAAGACAGCAGGTGTGGAAGTTATGTTTCTAACGAATAAAGAAATAAAGCTGTACGGGATATCCAACATTGGACCCAAAATGTTGTGTTATAGTGGGATGTGCAAAGTGCAAATTGGGCACACAGGTGCTTGGACTTGACAGTAGCATGACACAGCACTTATTATACAAAAAAAGGTGGCATAGGGAAACCAGGTGGAAATTTGGTTTGGGCGGCGTAACTCAATGGGAACCGGTTTTGACCATGAAAGGGCTGTCAAGAGAATACCACTGGTCGTGGGAGGTGGAGACTTTATAGGTAGGAAGGGACTAGCGGACTATACTTCCAATTGAAACAAGTTTACGAAAGCTGGTTCCAAAGCCGAGAAAACAAAGTTGTCGGCCAACACACGGTTTGGCCGTCAAGGGCTTTTGCGGTCAGCTGTTTGTAATAACGTGTTGTGCAAGGGGCTGATTTTCGGCGCACAGGTACTTTGATATGACGGTAACTTGACACAGCACTAATTATACTAAAAGAGTTGGCATAGCCAAACCAGGTGGATATTTAGTTTGGGCGGCGTAACTAAATGGGAAGTGGTTTTGACCGTCAAAGGCTGTCAAAATAATACCACTCAGGAGGTGGACACTTCACAGGTAGGCAGTGGACGGTACTTCCAGTTCGAACCACTTTGCAATAGGTGGCTTTAAATCCGAGAGAAAAAAAAAATTGTTGTCTCCAGAACTCGGGGTGTCAGCGTTTCCACGTCCAAAAGGAGGCTGATCAAGAAAGCACACCACATAAACTTCCATACTCAAACGTCGATTCTCTATGATTCCGAGTTTCATTGTTGTTTTCTTTTATATTTATAATTGCTACTTTTTTTTACCGTTCGAAACTTTCTTCGTGAAGTACAGATTGCGTGCCATACTTGTCCGGAAATATCATGGACACGTACGATGGGAACGAAACTACTTTGGAGGGCATTCCTCCAACGAAATTGGCACTGCATAACTGCGAGTGTGGGATGACATTTCAGTTCGTCCCATCGGCACTAACAAATGTAGGCGTTACTGGTACGAAAACAAACGCAGAGCGTAAAGCGGCAGTGTAGAATATATCAGCCGTGCCGACACGGTGGCAGACATGATCGGGAGACCAAATTTCTCGCGTCGTATGGTACGGGTCCATCGTTGTCGCTGTCCCACAAAACATCAGCGAGGTGAAAAAATGTGAAACTTTGTCCCCACGAGATACGACGCATAACTAATAAAGCCCTTAATGACGCAGCACAGGCAGCACTTCATGCTGTGAACCCAGCGCAACCGCACCGCTCCGACTTCAATGCGTACCAACGTACGCAGCGTGGTTTCGGTTTCGTTTTCTCTGGGGCTCTCACTGCCTACCTTCGGTACCGGCCGCGCGGCGGCGCGCCAGTCGCGTCGCACGGAGTGTATATCGCCGTATGAGTGATATCTTTTGGTTTTGCAGCTTCCCGCCTACCCTCCTGGCCTTGTTTAGTGAGCTCAAAATTTCGGTTCAGTATCCCTTTAAGATCCAGAGTCATATATTGGGAGAGTTTGGCCAATGGGCAAGGCAAAGGCTGCCACCAGCGCCGAATACACCTCCCGGGGTTAGGCGTAAACTAAATGTGCGACAGCGTTCACCAATCAGTAGACTGCGACGTCACAATACAGTCGAACCTCGATATATCGAACAGCGCGGTGATGGCGAAATAGTTCGATATAGTCAGAATTCAATATATTAAATCACATCAAAAACGCGTCAAAAACTTGTTAAAAGCGCGTGGCCGTCGCGCTCCGCGAAGCGCCGACCGACCGCAGAGGTGGGAGCAGCCGCGTGTCGTCTGCTACGGCGCGCCGCCGTGCCGCTCAGCTTGCGGGAGCTGGGAAATCTCGCACTCGAAGGATGAATTAAAATAATGTTAAAGCGGGCCTTAAAACGTTGCAGCCAACCGCTACCGGCATTGAAGTTCTTGGCGTTAAAAATGAATGCAAAGTTCTTGGCCTTCTGCTCGGTCCGGATACAGCCTAGGAATATTCCGGGCCCTTGCGTCGATGAACCATTTGTGCAGCGACTTCTCAACATCTTCATAGGCAGCTTTGTGTACACGCCGCGCGCCTGAGTGCTGGTTCTGTTCTGCCTTGGCCTTTATGTCACTCTTGTTTTTCAGTAGAGTACTCAAAGTGCTTCTTGGTAGGCCTAAAGCTTCGGCAACGCTTGACTTTTTTTCTCCATTCTCAACCCGCTGGATAGCTTCCAGTTTTGCAGGAAATGTCAGGGACGTCCGTTTTTTCAGCGTTTGGAGCCATTACTCACGCAAGGCAACACGACACACGAAAGAACTACGATCACACGCGTAGCACTACCAATAATACCGAGGAAGAGGAGTCGGTGCGGCAAATGCAGTGCGTCGTTGACGTTGCGCCGAACTATCCAGGCAGCGGCGTGCGTGTAGGTCGTCGGAAACGCCCATTGCGGCACCGCTATCTTTGAGGGTGTTGCGGGAAAGCTCGCCGCCTGTCAAAAGAGCGCGGGCTGTTTGGGGTGGCAGAGTTCGATATATTCATTTTATGACCGACCCCGTTCGAAATAAAAAATAAAACATGCATGCGATTTTCCGCGTGATATAGAAAGTGTTTGATATAGGCAATAATTCTATATATCCGTGTTCGATATATCGAGGTTTGACTGTATTGGAAACAACATTTAAAACGTGAAATAGAAGCATTCAATCTCATCATCTCGGTGACAGTTTTCTCTCGGCCGGCTTGCTAGAGCAGCGTCTCAGCTGAGACTGGCTGAAAGACAACAGGAAGACGAGGACGTTGAGAGGATGCCACACTGGGCGTCGGCGGTGCCTCAGTCTTACCCTGGGCCTCAGCACCTCGGAGGTGGCAGCTTTCTGCTTTGACTGGGCTACCCCTTGGAGCCTGTTTCGACCCCAGTGAGCAACTCCAGAGCCAAATGAAGATCTTATTTTTATTATTATTATTAAAACAGTGCAAAGGGTGGGGCATGCAAGTGTCTCGAGACGCGGTTTGCTCGGCTCAAGTTCAGACGGTCCCGCTGGGCTCATGCGCTGGCTTTGGCAGTGCTTTCTTTCTCCCAGGCTAAGCTGAGACGCTGTTTCTAGCAAGGCAGTTCCGGTTTGGACTGCAGTTTCGTTTATTATACCGTTAAATATAGACACAACGAAAACCTCACATGCGCCAAGTTTTCAGTCACCAAGAGTTATACCTTTTTACTCGAGTGACGCTAAAACGGCTTAAATTAGTCGAGTCGCATCTTTAGAGCTCATGATCACTTCAAGGGGCTGTTTCACGGCCTGTGGTTGGCCCCGAGATGCTCACCTATTCAAACCATTGTATGGCCAAACTCTCAATATACGGCTCTGTTAAGGTCGAAACTACAGCGCCATCTAGTAAAACAATATGCAAACAGTTGACTACAAGAAAAAAGCTTGGCGCGCAAATACACGGCAACCAAGAACGGCGAAACAGCAAAAAACATGGATAAGTGTTTTTCTCTTGCCCCTACTATTTTACAATATGCGACCATTTTACTTGAGGTTATTGTATGTGCAGATATTATTGACATTTTATAGTGATCCAAAGAGGCTACGCAAGGGAGCCACCTTCGGCCTTTTGCTGGGTGTTTCCTACACGCAACAAAGCCATAACTTGCAAATGTACCTCACAATTCTTTTTTTTTATTTCAGCTCTGTTCTTTAATTTGATCTTGTTAAACATTAATATCTTAAAAAAAAGAGTTTTAAGCAATTTCTGTATATCTCGTCAATAAAAGGTTACAAAAAGAATTCCTACATGCCATTGCTTTGTTTGATTGTGTTTCATGTTCCGGCACTGACTGCCAGGAGTCGAACATTGAGCATGGCTCACGCCACTGATCTCTATGGCAATTGCTGGATCGCGCTTCCTCGCTTGGTCGCTGCAGCGCGAGTGCAGTCATTGGACGGCCAAATTGCGGTTTTGCCAGTGTTACAGAGACTGGCTGCAGTATGCTGAAGACACGTTTTCTACTCGTTTGTCATCATTCGCCGAAGAAGATTTCTAAGACCCTGTATAATCGTTGTGGGTTTCTCTATAAAGGTCCCTCTACTAATAATCGCTGCCTGATCGGTATGCGTTTCGCTCGTCACTCAGGGAGTAACATAACAACAGGAAGACAGCGAACGGGTTTACTGTACCTCCCGGTCCCCCGTCGTCGAGAGCTGGCAGTCCAGGCACGCTGGCCCTTGTTGTCGCCCGTCGCTCACAGTCGGAGTCCGTGTCCAGGCCTGCGGATCGTCCTTCCCACGCCAGCGCTGCGTAGGGTGGCTGTCCCGGGCTATCACTGCCTGAGTCTCGCTGCAGAACCACCCCGCTGGATGGCCACGGCTTGCCGTTTCCACCGGTCTGTCTCCAAACCTCGCTGGTGGACCGCCCCGGGGTTCGCCATAGGCCAGGCCAGGCAGCCCGGCTCCGTCGTTTCTGCCCAGCTCCAGCCTCGTTCAGCCCGCACTATCTCGCGCTAGCTCGTGACTTCTCCGCCGACCGCCTGTCACGTGCCCTCTGCCTCGTCTTTCACCCTCGGCTCCCACATCATTGAGACTTGTCGTTGAAAAGACGTGGAAAATTTGACGAAAGCGCAGTGCCGCAGGAAAAAGGTGCAACTCTTCGAAAACAAGTTTCGTCGGCCTCGCGGCATGATTAAATCTTCCTTGGCACGTCAAAGTGCTGCTTCTCTGTGGCTTCTCATGCTTGGATACCGATCAAGATTTGAGTGGACGTGTTTTGCGAGTGCAATGTGCGTGGAGCCATATGTGCCTCTGGAGCAGCGTTTTACTTCGACGACTGTATCTGTAACTTGCGACACTCGCAGTCCAGTAACGAGCTTGATCCAGCGTAAAGTGGCAACGGAAGAAAGGGAAGGGGAAGGTACGTCTTTTTTTTTTTTTCGTCGTTAGGCGGTTTACAGAATACAGCCCAATAGCTCATCACTAATCAGTGGTTTGGCTCATTATCAAGAATTGCATGTGACATCAAGTTTGAGTGATGCTCGCCTAATTGTGATTGGTCAACAGATTGCACACGACCGTATGGGCCGTGCTTCAAAGATTTTCAATCTCGCCGTCTTGTACTTTTGCCTTCAAAAACCATCCTTGCTCCACAGTGTTGCTCTATTTGTGCTGCCATGTGATCCATTAGAGTAGATTTGGAACATAGCCATGGTTAATATTAATAGTGCATAAGAGCAACCATACAGATTGTTTTCAACCCCTTTATTGATAGCAACTCGCCAGAACAGCTGGATGATTCAGAACTTCGTGGCCGATATATGATGCAAAGACACCTAAGCGCGGCACGCCTTCGAAACTTGGCTGCGGAATCGATTCTTGATCGGTATCCAAGCGTGCGAAGGCACAGAGATGCAGCACTTCAGCGTGCCAAGGACGCCGCAACACGCCGCGTCGCGACACCGGCGAAACTTGCTTTTGACGAGTTGTGCCTTTTTTTCTGCGGCACTGCGCTTTCGTAAAGATTTCCATGTATTCTCAACGGCAAGTCTCAACGTTTACACAGGGTCTTAACAATTTTCTTCGGCAAATGGCGTGTGGAAAATGTGTCTTCAGCACGCTCCCGCCAGCCTCTGTAACGCTAGCAAAACTACAATTTGTCTATGAACAAGATGGCCGTCCAATGGCTTCACTCACGGGAGCGAGAAGCGTGATCCAGCAATTGTCATAGAAATCAGTGCCTCATGCACCTATGCTGTGGCGTACATAGGGCTGGTGGCCCCCAGGGCAAGTACCGTAGCTTATTTGCACCTCTGGTGATGATGATAATTATAATCATTATTTTGTGTAAAATTGCGCGTGTCCATGAAAAAGGACTGGCTCTTGGGACATACATTTTATTGCATTGCACTGAATACATGTGGAAGGAAGATGCCAAACATGATAAGTTCCTCTCAAACCAGCTCCTAGTGCTCGTCTGGTATTCTTATTTTGTGGCAATATAAAAAAATTAGACATATAAAACTATATTAGTTCTAAATAACTTCGAACCACACAGAAGGTAAAAAGCAAAGTGGGCATGTTTACCGTTAAGCGTCTAGATAAAGTAATAGACATAAGCGGAAAAGTTTAGGTTTCTGAGGTTTTATTAGACACATTTTTTTATTAAGAGAAAAAATATGAAGCGGAAATAATACATCATGGCACTGCAATAAGCTACAATATAACTTTCCTTGCTTCCGCTGAAGTGAATTGATCAACAACGTCGTTAAAGTCAATTTGCTTGGTTTCTTCTCGCCTCTTGCTCTACACTCCAAAGAGCGGGATCACAAGGTCTGTCCTGGCTCATGGAGGCCCCAAGTTGGAGAGTATTAATTTAAAATTTCGGCACGATAAGGGCATTCTGCACTACCCTCTAGCAGGCCACTTGTAGCCACTTGGGCAGAGAGCTTTCGGCCCGCGGTGCTCTTTGTCCAATCCTAACTCAGGGCAACCTTTTCGAGTACTTGAGGGCCCGGCGCTTAAGACGTGTGCTTCCTCCCTATGCCACACCCTAGGTATGCCATTGCACCCGTGGTTGGCACTCAGTAGGCTATGGCTAAGTCTTTGTCTTCGTCTTCTGCCTTTTCCAGTACCACAAGCTGTAGCAAGCATGGGTTTTGTGTGTTCCGATGGTTAACCGGCCGGGACCAACTTCTCTGCCTATTTCTCGCTCAGGGAGAAGCTGTTCAAGCAGGAGGGGCCAGTACCAGCGCTGCTTCTAGCGCTGCACAACAAGACAGCGACTCTTGACCCCCAGTGGCACGTGAGGAACTTGGGTGAGTTGTGAGTTGTCTATCACCTGCTGTCAGGAGATGGTAACTCTGTATGTTTGCAAACTGTTGAATAGTCCCTGCCTTGCTGTGCAGTCAATTTTAGCATAAACTCGGTCGTGGCTGTCGTTCTCTCGAAAACAACCAAAAACAAAGCTATGCGGCAAACAAGTTTGTCTTCTTCTTGGACAGAGGGCAGACTGATGTCACAGAACCGGGCTCTGATGTAAGGACATATAGTAATGTTTTGCCGATATAGACATTTCCGTTCCCGCCAACAGACAAAGACGCATGTCTTTAACCAGTTCATCCCGAAACTGTTATCTGTATAGCAGGATATTCTTATTAACAAAGTTCCTATTAACGAAATCTAACTGTACTGTGTAGATACAAAGGCAGAATATTACACTGCCAAGCTCTGATTGGAAAGTAGGGTACACAGGGGGTATTCACTGGATGCCATGTTTGAAGGCGATGCTTAGAGCGCATGCTCAAAACAAGCTCACATTAATAGCCCGCTAAGACTGGCAATCTCAATGATGCGGAATGCATGTTGCAAAAGAACTGCGGAAGCTCGCCGTCAGCATGTACTCATTAGCCGCGCACACAGATATGGCTGCCAGCAAATACTTCCTATAGTCTGTAGACACAAAGACTGAAGTTCATCATCCACTCCTTGCACAGAGGGTACAGTGACGTCAGAGGGCCAAGGTTTGATTTGAAGACTGGGGTATGTAGACACAAAGATGTGGAACATCACAACTATTGTACCGTAATATCACGAGATATAGCCCACCTAAAATTGAAAGCAAATCAAGTGAAATTAAGGAGTGAGCTAAAAAAAATGCTAGTTTTAGATTTTGGGACCTGCGAAACTTGCGATTGCGGGGGACGGTGGAGTGAGGCGGGGGGCGGGGGCGGCGGCGGCGGCGGCGAAGAACCAAGGACAGCTGTCCTTCCCAGTCAGCAATGTTTGCTTATATCCCGCCGTAGCTGAGTAACACTGTTTCTGCCAAGGTTGCTAATGGACAAGGCCCTGCAATTACTAGAAACGGGCTATCTTTCGGTGTTTTGAGAAAAATAGCAAACCGTGCCAAAAATAGCGGGTAAGTTACCTTTCAGTGGTGGGACATCTCTCGGGATATTAAGGTAAACACAAAAATAAAATCCAGAGAAAACACACCCGAATTCGTTGAAAAATAACCCCCCAAAAATGCCGATTGATCTTCCGACCTATCGAAAGGTTCCGCGGAAAGGAAGGACAAATGTGGGGGTGGGTCGTTCGGGACTCGCAGGGGTGACGGCGGGGACGCAGTACTCTCGTCTGTTTGTGAGCTCCGCCAAGCTGCTGCACTGGTCAGGGCGCTTCAAGCCCTGGAGCTCCAGGTCCCCTTACGCCGACATCTGGCACCGCTACTTCGTGCCGGATCCCACGGGGCGCTTTAGGCCGGCCTCCAAGTCCAAGCACCGGCGCGGCACGACCGAGGGCCCTTCCGTCAGGCAGCTGGCACGGCGGCCCGTCAATGGCTCGGTCTGAGTCCCGACGCGGGACGTCCCTCCCCAATTCCCATTTCGTTTGTGCCGTCCGCGTTCGGGGTCATGTTGGTGCCCAGGGGCGCATCTCCAGCCGGCTTGTCGGCCGTGTCCTCGAACATGGTCCTTCGATTTTTGCTCGACAACTTAGCAGAAGCGGCGCGCCGTCGCCCGTTGCAGTCCCGGACGCCAGTTCCGTTGCGGCTCGTTCTCGGCTCCACGGTTCACAAAAGCGTCTGCGGTGACTATTGTATGTTGCCACGTAAAGATTGACTTGAAATATAGGCCTAAACTCCCCCCCCCCTCCCTCCTCTAATTCTAACCAACAAAAAAAGTTTCTTTGTGTGTTTTTTTTTTTTTTTTTGTTTATACTTTTTGTTTTTGTATTTATAGCCATTTTTGAGATGCCGGTTTTTTTTTTCGGTGTATGGCCTGCCGACTCTACACGTTTAAAAGATGAAATTTTACCTGGTGCGGACCATCTACAAGTGCAGACTATGAGGTTTCGTATTTTTCTAGATCGTTCACTGTGACAGGACGTGAAGAATTTCACGAATAGCAGATTATATTAATGGTGATTTGCGTACGATGCAGGCTCCTTTGTGAACTAATACAGCAGGCATTTGTAAACGTGTGCTACATATATTTTTTTACGTTTTTGATTAGGCACTATGAATGGCTTAAAAAAAACCTTTTTTTTTTTTTTTTTTTCAGCTGAACTTGGTTTTTGGAGACTATAGTTTGGAAAATACGGTACCCATTTCTGAAAAGGACGAATTATATGTGGTGATATGCGGTAATTGGGACATTGCTATGACGGCGACACTCGCGTTTGCTCGCCCGTCTCGCCCAAATTCTACGACGAACCGCCCGGATTGCAACGTCCAACAGCTTGGTGCACCAGCTCTTGCGACATCATTAATTACCACCTTGGGTCTACCTTGGATGCACGAGCGGGATGGACGCTGGGCACACCGGTCGGATATGCGCTCTGGGCACCACAGTTGCGACGATCGGAGCGACCATCGTCAGCTCGAGGTTCATCTCGCGGGCCGGAAAGTTTGTCAAGCGTGTTCGGTTAGGACGCCCGCTTTCGAGGACGTTTAAGCCGAGCACAAGCTCCGGTATTGCGTGCGAGCTAAAAATTTGATGCGTCGCTGAGGCGTCTCTTTCTCATCCGGGAAGAGGCACCTTTTTGTGTCTGACATTGTAGTTCTCCTACGAGGGGAGTTTACCGGCAATACCGAGCGGAATCGAAAGACTGTCGTTTTGTGGCGCAAAGCCCGCAAAAGATGTTCTAAAGTAAATCTTCAGGTGATGGGATATTGTAGACGAATCTGGTGGATGATGCTGTCTGCCACGCCACCGGTCGGGGTCTGTTTTCTCATGATTTATGAGCGTTTCAATTAGAGATGGTAAGTGCTCAGAATGTGCGTAGGGTATTACAATAGCTGTGACTTTCGAAATATTTCTTATGTTGTTTCTGTGCTAGGCAGCACGGTGAACCTAAGAAAAAGGCCAAATTGAGTCTTCTTTTTCATCCGACGGAATGTACGCGGGCGAGGTTTTGTCTGAGAGGTACTGGTAATGGTCATTCTCACTAACAGCTGAAGTTCAGCCATGTGGCACATGTGCATATTTTTCTGTTCAAGAGCAGATAGGTTTTAATGATCAGTGTTGTCCACTATGTACTTCATTTTCTTTTCGTACTACTTGTGCACAAACTATGAACTGTGAGTAATAGCACGCCAGTCAGCACCAAATTGGACTACAAATTTTCCATAATAAGGCTGCTGCTACTAATAATGCAAAACTGCATTTCTTTTTTTCATTTCAAGGAGGCTTTGTTTGTGGGACATGTTGGCTGGTTTCTTAGGGATGCAGGCAAGTCTTTAAAGCTTATAAAAAGAAGAGCAAATATTTATAGCCCACACATTCTAGGCAGTGCAACATGCATGATTTCTGCATGCCAATCCCTTTTCGGCTTCCTCTTCGTGGTTATGTGTGGATTACAGCCATGTTTAATGCAAACACTCAACAACCAGTCAGTCCCATTTTTCTGTGTTGAAACGAACAGCCAAGAATCAAACTACTATAATGTTAATACATGTTGCAATGTCGGTATAGGAATTTGTGCAGACATAACTTGACTTTCCACACTTCTGACAACTAATTGGTTAGTAACTACTTATGGCTTACCAATCCATGCAAATGTACCAAATGTAGAGCCCCTGTGGTATACGATAATACTAGTATACTGCTCCAGACAATTTCATAGTCTCTTTTGAATTTTCTGCAATTTCAAAAGGTGCTCTCCCTGCTAAGGTCTCTAAACCCATTTATAATTAAATGTCATAAAAAATTGGAAAACGAGAAATGAGAAAATCAGGCGGTCTTTCCAGATATAATGAGCAACGTTTCTAATTTAGCAGCTGGCATTACTTGTAAAAGTTTGCTAGAAAGCAAAACCGGTTGTTGGTCTGAAGCAAAATCTCAAACAATGTTTTTGGCCCAACACTTGTTTTTTCAATTTCCAATAGACCGATCTCACCAGCTAGTTTGAGTACGCCACCGCTGCCGCCATGCATCGTGGCAGCTGTAGTCTTTCTGCACGCGCGACAACCCCGCTGGAGCTCTGCGCGAGCAGAGCAGGAGGTGGCATGAGCTGTCTCGTGAACTGGCGTCTGCGTCCTATGAACTACAGTTATGGCGGCGTCACGCATGCGTGGAACGCTTGGTGAGATCGGTCTATTCAAATGTAAAGTAATATCCCTAGAGATGCCTTACCCCCAAAATATAGCCCGCCCCCTATTTTTGGCATAATTTGCTATTTTTTTCCGGAACACCGAAAGATAGCCCACGTCTACTAATTGCAGGGCCCTTGCCAATGTTGACATCGACAAAAACAGTGTTATTAAACGACAGCGGGAGATAAGCAAACATTGCCGACTGAGAAGGACAGTCATCTTTGGTTCCTTGCTCCATCCTGCGATCACAAGTTTTGAGGGCCATAAAATCTAAAACTAGCATTTTTTCTACTTCTTTTTATGACACACCGAAAGTTAGTTCACCCCTTGTTTTCATCCGATTTGCTATTGATTTTAGGTGGGCTATCTCTCGAGATATTGCTCTAGGTCCTTGCTCTTTAAATCGACTTTTGCTGTGGTGCACGTAAACACCGGCTCTCTAACCTCCAGTGTGTGGTCTCTACAGACTTTGGAAGACATATGGGACCACTCTACGACATAGTGTTTGCATTGAACTAATGGTGTTGCAGTGCACATGCTCGCTGCGCACTTCACTCCTTTCCTTCTACCTCGTATTTGTGCAGCGAGTTCAGCTTGTGCATGTTCTGCAACAGGGAAGTTGCTTGTCGGTCCTGCAGGAACGGATCTTTTGGTCGTGACCAGAGGGTCGCCACTTTTTAGAGCTGTAATGGAAGTGTGCTGCAAGACGTAAGGAGGTTACGAAAGAGAATGCGGGCGGTACGTACACCGAGTAGGAAGTTGCATGCAGAGTTTGTGTGAGAGTGCTGCTACGAGGAGATCTCTGCGTTGTGATTGTTTTGTATTCAGGATTGAGGCTCCGGTGCTAATGGGTGACGTTGGTGCTACTGCAGTTCCAGCCGTGGGGTTGAGTAGAAATGAGTTTGTAGACTGTGTGTGCATTTATTTCGAGTGAAAATGTGCGTGTGACTTTGTGTGCAAGCAGTGTTACCCCCACCCGGGCCACCGGAAACGACGACGTCTCCGCCTTTTGTGTTGCTCTAAAAAAGGTGCGAGGCTTCTTTTCCGAGCAAGGTCGGGCGTAAACACTCGTGGATCTTCAGAACGTGGTTAGACGCTTGTTGCATGAGAGTTGTACGGAGTCTCTGACACTTTGTTTATATGACCCCCATTATAGGGGGTTATATTCATAGCTACTAGATATTAAGCTGGGACTTTTGTCAGCATCATACTTTTTTAACTATAAAAATTTTAGAATTTTCTTTTTTATTATTTAGCAAACTTGGGTTGGCTCTTTGCCAGCTTCCCTCTCTTCTCATATCAGGGCACCTCAAATTTCTTTTCCCAGAGGTAACACCGTAAAATGCCAAGCCAAATCCCTCCTAATCTATTGAAAACTTTCGACAAAATTGGACACTGGATGCCTCAAGCAGTTTGCTAGATTTTGAAACTGCCTAATCTTGAGGGTTGGCACGTGCGCAGGCATGAATCTATGCTTGCTATGTGATGCTTTTTAAAAAAAAGAGGTAAAGGCTTACTTTTTCTTTGGCAGTTAAACGTTTTGCCCACTTTGTTGCGAGTGTTACCCCCACGCAGTTTTAGTACCAAGGTGTCCTCCGTTAGTTCTGGGTTGTCTGGCCGAGAAAATCGCCATTGTAGGAATGAAATTTTGCTGTTGAGGTTTTTTCTTGTCAGTAGAATTTTAAAATCATTGAGACAGTATTTTCTACAACTGTATTCTTTGGTTGTGTTGATCTGACTTTTTAACACGGGTGATTTTTGTTTTTTATTCTTGTCATTTTAAAGATTTTACCATTCATGTGCAGTCCCCATTACACTCTACTGGGGCAGGGGAGTGAATTTTAATGCAGAACAAAATTCATACATAACCATACCTATATTTATGTGAATCGAAAATATATGTACTTTAATGGGACATGGACATAACCCGACGCTACCGCAAGAGCCTGTACATGCGCATGGAAATTGGCCAAAGTATGACAAGAGTGGGCTTAGCATTTTCTCCAGTTCAGTATGATTGGGTCTGTACTGTGGTACCAGATTATCGTAGCATTTTTGCTACCTTCTTATTTATACCATCTATAGATTTGTTCTAAACGTTTTGCTTTGTTTTCCTCCGCACAAAAATTCTCACCTTGTTTTATTTTTTTTCTTTTCAAAGAGAGTGAAATTGGAAGCAAAATCTCTTCCTTCTTACCTTTGTTTTTTCTCAGCAACTGTTTATTCTTTCTGAAATCCATGCACCATTTTTTTTTTTTTTTTCACTGCTGTTTGGCAGTGGAATAGGACCTGTTTGCTGCAAAGCTATTTGTTTCAATCACGGCAAACCGCTCTTGGTTGTGCATACCAGGATTTTCATGTTCACTTGTTTGAGCAGGTGGACAAAGTACGTAAACCATTTTCTCTGATTGACATTTGTTTCAACTCCCTCTAGCTAGTCTTAAATACCCTTCAAGCAAGTGAACTGTACAATGATTATATTTATGTATATATTTATATATTAGCAAGCTCGTGGCATTGTCAGGTAGGTGCTGATGCCACTATACAGCTTCATCAGAATCTCCATCATCTCAAGGGTTCTGCGTAATACTGGGGATTATAGGAGGCAGAGACGCGAGCGTGTGGCTTTTGAAAATGCTTGTTCTCTCGTGAGTGTTTGTGCAAACAATGCATTTTGCTATGCTGCCCTTTTCTGCCTTTGCTGTTGAGTGCTGCATGCAAAACTCAGATGGAATATAGGTGCAACTTTGAAATCTGGGCCGTGAAGCAGTTTGTGGTTGGCTTTTTTAAACAATATTTATTGTTTTTATATTTATCGTGCTATGTTGTAAATTTGGGGTTCTGTGATGAACATATATGCTCTCTGTATTTGTGCATTTGCTGTCAGTCTACTGCGTAATGTGCGTGCTTGTGATGATTTGCCGAAGACTCTGTCAAGGGGGAGAACAATCCAATATCTGAGAACCATGTTTATAGAGCAGTGGTTGGTGGAACTTTTTATTTTTTGTACACATATCTCTTTGTACGAAGGTGAGAAAAACATTTGTGGAAATAACATTTGCTTGCCTGAAATTTGCCACCGATTGTTGGAACTTGAAACGAACAGTGCAGCAATAGTAACGGTCCTTTAGCTCTGTTTGGGCATTCATTAGGCAAGAGAAAAAGAAGCTCTGCTGTAACCGTTCCTAATCAAGCAAAAAAAAAAGAAAAAATAAGAATCATTTAGTTTGGCAGTTCTCACATTTAAATGCTTTGTAAAATTGTATGCCCTGCTTCGTTATCCATGTACGTTAATTAGGTCTCTTTTCACAGTTCAGATCTGTACATTAATTTTTAGAAGGTGAATTTTAATGAACTTGAAACGAGTTGATGGAAATAAACTTTTTACGTGCATACATGGCCTGTTTTAATTATAAGCTTCTTTGTTTCTAAATAAGAAGTGTTGCATAAATTTTATAAATGTTCAACATTGCAGGTCCCGACTATCAACCACATGGCTTGTAGCAAGTCTGTGTCATATCGACACACCTTAAACTAGAGCAAGAGCTATTTGTCAAAAGGTCTAGTTTTTGCAGCTACCCTGACCTTCCAGGTCCAGTAATTTTGTCCCTCAAGTCCTATTGAATCGCGCTCGCTTGACCACCTTTTTGGACGAAGAATGAATTGGAACAGTCCATTTTGCACTTTAGTGTTGCTCTTTACCCTGTCGTTATCATTAATTCCCCCACCCTTCCCCGTCGCCTAAATTTCGACGAGAAAGCGCTGTTTCAGATCAAGTTGAGGCCGGCCTTGGCCGCCTCCTTCTTGGAATCTTCGTCCGGTTTGAGCCTCCTGTGCTTGCCCGGGTCACCTAGTGCCAGTTCGGACTTGTCCTCGCTCGACGACGAGGTCTCTGTGATCGCGTCAAAGTTCAGCTTCATGTCGCACGGCATCAGGTCCACCGCGCTGCAGTTCTGGCGGATGTGGCTGAACACCGAGTGCATCACCACATTGGTCATGTATTTGGCCGAAGACGTACCCAGCCGGGAGGCGCGCACCTTGAGCTTGGACAGGTGGGCGTCGATCTCGTGCTCCCGCAGCACGAACTGCGGCAAGACCAACTTACGGAAGATGAGGCTGGCGCCCTTGGTGGTCGGCGACTGGAGCCAAACCACGAGGAGCACTTTGAGCTCGGCGTAGAGCGGCAGGCAGCAGGCGAACATCATGTCTGCCAGGGGCTCGACACTGAGCAGCCCGGCCAGGACGATCCAGTACATCATCCATCGGACGTACTCGCGCGGGTTGCGGGAGCGGACCGCCTTGCAGGACGCGTAGGCCGGGTGCAGGGCGCCCACAGCCAGCAGCACGAGGCGGCCGAAGGTGTTGGACAGCAGGCTCATCAGCAGCAGCAGTAGCCACAGCATGGGGCTACTCTCTCTGCCGGATCCTGGTGGGTTCCGAACGCCTTCGCAGCGGGGGTTCGGGGCAGGCTGCTGCTGCTGCTCGGGTCGGTGCCTGCTGGCGAGGGAGCCACGCGCTTCGTCCTCGAACTCCATCCTCCTTGTCTGCGTCGTCGTCCTCTGGCACGCCTGGGCTCGAGGAGCGCTCGAGCTTGGGGGGTTGCGCAAGGCGCGCGAGAGAATTCGGAACATCGTTAAAATAAAATGGAGCGTTCTTCATTCTACCTATAATTCGCCGAAACTTTTAAATCTGGTAATTTTTTTCTTGCCACTGTTCGACTTCTCCAACCGGTGTGGGCTGTTTATACACCATTCCAATCCTCAGCCCAGCACGCGCATGTTCGTCGCTTCAGAAAGCGAGCAAATTGCGCGCCATACGCACGAACACTGAAAATGGAAGCGGCCAGGAACCCTTTTTTGGAAAGCAGAAATACGGCGACATAAAGAACGAGAGACAAAAAGGCTTACGAGCCACTCACAAAATTTCGAAAATGCCAAAGGTAATCAGCGCGGAACGGGGTACAAAAACAGCAAAAGGAGAAAGCTGAGGCCATGAACAACTGCAGAAAATCCAAACCAGTACAAAGCGATTCCGGAACTACTCATCGCCGAATGCTCAATGCTGCAGTCCGGACGGTCCGGACCAGATGCCAAATTTTCACTCCGAACTTGCCGTTGCCTTATTAAAATTTATTATTGATGAAGATTTCAATAAAAAAAATTGGGTTCGTTCCCAGTAGCTCACGCCATTCACTCCATATATCCGTGAGCATCGTGGGCCGCCATTTTCCCCATGTCACCAATGGACATATTTTGCCACACAAACCTGCGTTTCAGTAATGCACCAGAGTGTTGATTATTATTTTCTTTTTTTTTTTTAGGTTCATTATCAAGATATATTGAAGGTCGTACGACCCTCGGATATTTCCCTGAGCGCTGGAGATATTTAATAAAGGGTGGCGATGTGGGTTAGTTGGTTCATACTGACGAAAAGGTAAACGGCGCACAATAAATGGGGACTAGAAGAAATGCAAACAGCACAGCGCTTGTCCTGTTTGCACTTCCTTCTAGTCCCCGTTTATTGTGCGCTGTTTGCCTTTTCGTCAATATTTAATAAAATCCAGAAATATGCCCAGTTTGACTGTTGTAAGCGCATTTTGAGGCGATTTTTAAATGGAAGTCATTTAGATGATAAAAGTAACAAAACGAATGGCAGTACGTACTCGTAACTATAAATTTGATAAGGCCGTTTTCGCTAGATTTATTTTCAATCGGTTCAGCGAGATGGAGACATCAGTACCAAATGCCCAAAGCAGGCACGTAGCCGGGGGGGGGGGGGGGGGGGGGGGGGGGGGGGGAGGGGCATGGGGCCCAAGCCCTCCCCCCCCCCCCCCCCCCTTTTGGCTACGTGCCTGCTTAAATTCCGGGAAGGGAAGCGAGCCCCCCCTTCCCCCTCCCCCCTCCGAATCAAAATCCTAGCTGGCTACGCGACTGGCCCCAAGCCAGCGCATTTGATGTTGCTGCTGTTTTCACGAGCTTGCACGTACGGCGACTCACGGCACGAGTCTTCTGCTTGATACCGCAAAGATCAGTTCTGCAGTTTTGTCGGAGAATCGTTTGCGTTAAGGCCGGTTCAGACACTTGCGTTTGAGTACGTTTGACTGTGTTGCGTCGAGAACCGAAAGCGAATCACCGGCACATCTGTGCTTCGTATGAAGCGTGGAGTCCAGTTCGAGGAATCAGCTTGGCACGCGATATGATGTCCTGGTGTCTCGCAGCCGCAACGCAGTCAAACGCAGTCAAACGCAACAAACAGCGGTGTGTATGTATTTCCTCTCACGGTTTCTTCTAATTTGTAATTGTTCAGCTGACCATATTCAATTCATGTCTGAACCAGGCTTTAGATTTCTGTCTGCTGCACCACACAAAAAGTAGGATCAATGAGAGGCGACGCATGGATGGCCCAGTGATTAAAGCCACCGTGATGCCATGGCCACGTGCTGTGTCTCGCTGTCGCGCGACGAGCTTTCAATTTTATAGTGACCGCGGCCGATGCGATTACCTTCGCAGCCAATCTAACGGCAAGAACGTGCCACGTAACCTCGCACTCGGCGTGTCCCGTCTCACTAAAGTCACTGGATCCAGGGAAAGTAGCGCCATTGCCTTCCCTACCTGCTAACCGAACACAAACATATACTAACATGCAGACGACCAAAACCTCGCAAGGCGATTGCCATGGAAATCGCCATCTTGGTTCATTCCAATCTTCGAAGAAGAAGAAGAAGAAAATAAATGGTGCTATGGAGAATTTGGCAGCCTTGAAATGGCGCCGGCTACTCCAATCTTCGATGTTTCCAGAGGGTCGTTCTATACCAGTCGCGCCAAGATCACCATGGACACGGAGCATCATCGTACTGGATGCGTTCCTCGCCGATATAAGAGTCTTTGGCACTGTGAGCGAGTGAGTTTATTGAGCAAAAGAAAAGGGGGTAATGCGGAACGAGAGGTTAGTCTCCCAATAGCGGGGTCAGCTTTCTCGTTCCGCTTGGGGAAAGGGAAACCAAGAGTGGTTAAGAGGAGGAGGATGGTTGACGCCCGTCAGTACAGCCTAGAGGCGTGTTGAGAGGCCAGTCTCTTGGAGGAAAAGAAGGATGACTTTGAATGTTTGCACCCTTAGTGCTTGTGGTCCTGCGGGAAAAAGAAGACTTCGGGTATCCTGGTTACTGCCGTTCGCAATAGATTTTTTCAGGACGTTTCTTGAATTGGCGTTTTGTGGGCATGTCCAAAAGATGTGGTCCAGATCTTCTCTTTCATCACATGCGGGACAGTTTGGGCTAGACGCTTGTCTCATGAGATGTAGACGAGAGTAGGTGTTTGCACAGTTGACTCGTAGTCTATGTAGCAACGATTGTTGCGGTCTCGGGAATTTGTTTTTTGGAATGGTTGGAGGAGGTAGTCCAGAAGCCGTTCCTGGGTGGGGGTGATTAGTTTGTGCTTCATTATGGATTATGATTCAATAGTTGTTGTATGGATGTATTTCTATTACTTGGGATACATTATTGTGGGCTTCATTTGCAAGGGCATCTGCTCTTTCATTTCCATGTATACCCACATGCGAAGGGATCCACTGAAAGTACCGTATTTACTCGCGTATAGGTCGACCTGTTTTTCAAAAATCGCCTCATCAAAACTGGGGGGTCGACCAATACGCGAATCCCGGTATTATATTTTTCAACTTTTTTTTTTTTTTCGGGGGTCCCGAAGTTAGGGGGTCGACCTATACGACGTATCGACCAATATGCGAGTAAATACGGTAGATGATTGATACTTCTTTAGCCATGTGGTGTACGAGTTGAACAATGGATCTTGCCAAAGGAGTTCCCCTTCTCAAGTTTTGGAGCTGTCGTAAGGCTCCTTTCGAGTCCGTGAAAATAGCCACTTTTTCATTTTCCGAAAGTGTTATTAACTCGGAGAGCGCGAGCCATATCGCAGCAAGTTCTGCTGTGGTGTGTATACAATCAACTTATCAATCATGCCCACTTCCACGGATCTCTTACACATATATTGTTCTCCCTGCGTATTTCCAAACTGTAAAAAATTATTATTCAGTGCCTCCAAGCAGGGCCGTACCCAGAAAAATATTTCGGGGGGGGGGGGGGGGGGGAGTGCGGGGACAACGGCGGCCATTTTGAAAGTGTCTACTGTCTTGTTTTCGCCTATGAATCATGTGCATCGGTGGCATACAATAGAGAGTTACAGCAAACCGGAGAACCGGTCCCGGTTTGGTACCTGGTAGCCGACCGGCGCCACTGCGCATGCGCAGAGGTGAAGATTAAAATCGGCTGGCTGCCAGTGCACCGACCAGGGCCGTACCCAGAAAAAAATTTCGGGGGGGGGGGGGGGGGGTCAGAACCCCCTGACCCCCCTCCCTCCCCCCCCCTGGTTACGGCCCTGCCTACAAGCACCGACACAGCATGTGGTGGTGGTACGAAGATGTACGCTTGTTTCGCCGGTGTGTGGATAGCAAAATCTCGGTATACAAGAAACGTCTCCATAAAGCTACCCGTCACCAGCGAATTTAGATCGGCTCACCAAGAACGGAGGGGTCAGGGAGAAATTGCTCATTTCACGGACCAAAATGGCGACTATACGGTGAGCTTGGCGCTGCTTTCCCAAGATCACGGTGCCCAACATCCAATGACTTTAGGTCACACCGAAGTGTCACACGCCCTCAGTAAAGCACCTTGATATGTTTGTATGTCTTGCAAGCGTCATGAAATAATCAGGTACGCCATTGCACGAGCCCGTGCCTGATGCGACACTTGGAAGCAAATGGCGGCGCAGCCCTAAAATGAGCGGCCATGGAACGACCTCTGAAAGGAAACTGGTGCGGCTCTCGCTCGTGGTCTCGTGGTGCGCTTGTGGATGTTGGTTCTTGTAAGAAACGCTAAAAACGCCAAACATGATTTTTATCCAGCCACTTTAGCTCACAGCGCTGGTTTGGCTTCCCAGGCTTCTATCGGCCGCTTCAAATCTCGGCCATTTTCTTACCCATCTTATATTTGCAAAAAAAAAAAAAAAAACGCTGTGGTTTTTATTTAACATGAGAGCTCGGGCCATATTGCATTTAATTATCTGTTTAGAAATGTCATGTTTTTCACATTCGGTACGAGCGTGAACCAAGGCGGGCGTTAATGATGATCCCGTGACAACCGTGAATGTGGTCATCCAATTTAGCTCTTGGATTCTACGGTGTCGCCGAAACAACCCCTTCCCGTTTGAATCCGTCCCGTTTCGACCCATTCTCAAAACGACCTTCCCGTTTGAACCCGTCCCGTTTCGTCCCACTCCCGAAATGCCCTTCTCATTTGAATCCGTCCCGTTTCAACCGATACTCGAAAGACCCTTTGCGTTTGAGCCCGTCCATTTTCAACCCATTTGTATAAGATCCTGCGCATCACAACCTCTTCGCGAAAAGTCGAATCGTTCTAACCCTGGTCTGCGCACCTTTTCTGCTTAAGAATATATGTTCTGAAATATTATTGCATGCCAATGTATTCTAAAAATAGTAAGTTTTAGTAGATCGTTCCCATGACTCCGTTAACGATACCCGATACTCCGCCACCGCCTCCCTTGCGCATGCATAGTATCGTTATCGGGGCCATCGG